TTTGTTAAGCTCTGAGTGAGACTTCCAAAGCTGCATTGTGTATGGTTTGTTAGGCGAAGCTTAAGCATAACGCCGTTGAGGGGGGTGCTGCACTCGGAGAAAGTCTCCCCTGCGCAACCTATGATGGTTGACATGAAGGTATCGTCCAGCACCTGCTTATCATTCAGCCCGGGCCGGTCTCGGTCGAAGATGATGATGGTGATCGTCCCCCCTCGCTTATTACGGGGGTATTCCCACTCTGGCTTGACGTCCTTGCGGAACCAGGAGTAGGTGAAAGGGATAGAACAGCTGGAAGGGGGGCGGACGTAGCGCCAGAGACGCCAAAAGCTCTCGACATCCGCTACGGTTGCTATGTGGACCGGATCAAATAGCATCGATCCCGTGTGGTTGCCACCAAGGGCGTCCGTCGTCGAAGGGGGGCTGATATTGCAGTGATCATCGGCGTACAAATCCCACGCCGAGTGGAGGCACAAAGACTGAGAGGGAGGGGCGGTTTTGGTGTTGGAGCAACCAAATATCGTGGGCAAATGACTACCCGTCCACTGAACCTGTGAGGCGGTAATCCCATTCGACTCCTGCACGCCGCTAGCGGTGGAAGGGGTGGGGGTGGTCGGTGTCGTGGTCGAGGGTTGCTGCGGCGGCCTTTGCGGGGTCGACTTCACCGCACACGACAAAGGAGAGGGCTTGGCTGGCGGTATCTCGGTCGAGGATATTTGGTTAAACGATTGTGAGCCACTCTTGTTGAACACCACCGAGGAGGGTGACGCCTCGCTTGACGAAGGCTCGGCTACAGACAGTTGGGGAAGAGATTCCGAACGCTCATTGGGGTCGTTTTTGTGCGTAGGTGTATCGGTGGCAGAAGATGAGCAAGGATCTATTTGCAGCTTTGAATCAGCATTAGGAATTGTCAGATTCGAGGCAGATTTATTCGAAACATGAGGTATAAAAGGAGTGGCATCGGCGCTAAGCTTAGTGGGCTGGTTTATCGGAGTATGTGTTCTGTCGTTACCTGGGGTCTTATAATTCATATTAGGTTGTGTCCTATTTAGCACAAACTCCTGAGCAGCTGGATTCATTTGATATTCAATTATTGTTGATGCCGTTAGACTTCCTTTTCCTATGATAAAGGGTGACGGGAGTAAAATTCTAAAAGGAAGAGAGGGAAAGGGAGGGGAATAACAGAATTTAGAGACAATAAAGGACTATTGGTCAAGGACGATTTTCGTTACGGTTTATGAAACTGTGTCCTTCACCTACGTGGATGTGATATCCATTTTTATAATGTTTTCTGTTATTATTATACTTTTTGTCTACAGAATGTTTACACTTTTAAACGTTCGCTTACAGATCGCTTCTTAGGTTACACTGCTGAACTCCTATCAAGATTCTCGTCATACTAAAGTTCAAGAGCCAATAGCAGCAGATTTAGTGCAAGGTGCCTTTGCAAAAGTATCGGCACTTTTATCTTAAAAAAAAAAGACAATTTATCGTATTGAATGAAGAAAGGGGTGAATAGAAAAAGTAGCAGCCAAGCATCAAAGATCCATCTGAACCCCATCAATCACAATAGGCTCGTCACGGGGTCGGTAGACACTTTTAAAAATTCGATGAAAGCGATGCAGATCGCGATCGACCAAATGCGAGAATGTATTCAAGGATATCGTCTCATTTTCTAGCTGTGTCAAAAGAGGCTTAGCAACACCCAAAAAACGGCTTGCCTCACGCTGCATATTCTGATCCAAATCCTCGGATTCGCAACATCGCACAAGTTGCTCAACCACAGCAACGACAAGGCACTCGTCAAGTTCACAATCAGCATCGGAATCATCATCATCATCATTTAGATAGTTCTCGTCTTCCGATGCATTAGGCAAAATATCAATAGCTGCGTCATCAAAAGAGTTCGCATCATCCTTTTCGCAGAATGCAGTCGCTTCCTCATGCCCTTGGTCATTCTCTATCAAGTCGCGCTCATCAACTGTGAGGCAGTACGGTCCATTTCGGATCGCTCGCACTGTGGAACCATCTTCATTAAAAATGGCCTCTAACCCTGACTCCTCGGTCTCGCCTTCCCTATGGATATCCTTAGTACGAATCTTTTTATTTTTTAATGAAGAGCTAGCAGAATTACCTTCACCGTCGTCCTCATCACTATCACTCCGCAGATGTCTTCGGCCTTGAAAACGCGCGAACTCTTTAGCCGTCAAGCCGCGTCGCAGTGGTGGCTTCTCAGGTTCAGATATGGAACCTTGGGCCATGTGGTCTCCCATATTTAAACCGTGTGGCGTAACGGAGACCACTCGTGCACGAATACCTGCACTTGCTAAGGCGTCCTCCACGGGGGAAATCGTGGAAAGAATGGAGGGGCCTGGTAAAGACTCCGCCATTGTGCCTACAACGTCTTCGGCATACTCACAGCCATCGATCACAGTGTCGTTCCCGTCACAGGCGTTTTGCGCATCCGTCTGCAGCTCCATCAAAGTCTCGGCGTCCGGTTCCAGAGGGTCGGGACACGGCACGACACGCGTGTGCAGGGTGGAGGGCAACGATGGGCCGATGTGAGCACGGGTTGCGTGGGTGCTCGTCCCTGTCAAGCTACCGGTGCTGGTATTGAAATCATGGGGCTGGACGTTGTCTTCGTCGCTATATAAAAATTCGATCTTTACACGGGTTGAATGTGCTGAGGGTTGGGTTGGTGACGCGCTTGGAGTCGAAGTTGGCCCGCTGTGAGGAACATCAAGACTATAAGTATCCCCATCCATGGCTGACAAAAGATGCTGAACCTTGTCCACCATGATGTCGATTTTTAGGCTTACGCAGCTGATGGACGATCGCTTCGCTGATTATTTTGCTTGACTGATTTTACCCTACGTTTTTTCCTTTGAAGAAATGGCTGTAGAGAAAGGAGTGTAAACACACACACGTGAGTCAAGCTTTACCTTAAAACTCAATAGATATGCGAGAAACAAGAGTGGATATTTGCAATCGTTCAATTTACATTTTTTCAAAATTCAGGCCAAGGATAACACTTTGAGTAGAAAAGCATTCAGATGGGCTTTGTAAAAAGCAATTGTTTTTATTTGATTTTGATTTTGTAGATGCATAATGGTTCACAGTCAGAAAATATAAATGATAGATCAAGAATGCTAATCATATAATAATAACATCTTGGTAAGAATTTACTTCCATGCTAATATAAAAGAGGCATTGTCTTCTCATAAACTAAGATCTTTACGATTAGTGACGATAAATGTGAATACAGATATAATTAAAAAAACGTCATATTTGTACGGTCAATTGATTTCATGACAGCAAGAAAAGATAAATAGAGGATTGAAAACTATGAGGTATCAAGCAAAGGCATCCTCATAAACCCTCAACATATGTCCTTAGTGTTCCTTCTTTCTCTTACTTCTTGCCTTCAAAACTGATTTGGGGTCCTGTAGACTCCCCAAATGCGCGACCTCCTTCGGTGTCCTTTAGAGAGTCGAGCACTTCATGGATATTCATTGCCAATTCGTAGTACGGCTTTGCTGCCGGAATCTCAACGTCACCACGGAGTGCAGGTGGCATTCCTTCGTCCGTATCAGACATAATGCGTTCAACAAAAGGTATCTCGCCCAGCAGTGGGACCTTAAGCTCCTTTGCAACCGCCTTCACACCACCATTGCCAAAAATATAGTGTTTTTTATTGCAGTTATCGCACAAGAAATAGCTCATGTTCTCCACGAGGCCCAACACAGGAGTGTTGACGGCCACAAACATGTCAATCCCACGACGCACATCAATCAAGGCTACTTTTTGCGGTGTTGATACAATAACAGCACCGGATAAAATCACCTCTTGTGTGATTGTAAGGTGAACATCGTTGGTACCGGGCGGCATATCAATTAGCAGGTAATCCAACTCGTCCCAGTCTGTCTGGAACAGAAGTGCGCGAATATATTTGTTTATCATGGGGCCCCTCACCGCTATTGCTTCGTCATGAGGTACGATCAGGCCCATGCTCATGACCTTGACGCCGAAGTTCATTGGTGGTCCAAAACGGTCGCTCCCAGCGATGCGGTACGTCTCTACCTGGGACTGAGTGACGCCCATCATGAGCGGAATCGAGGGGCCTGTAACGTCGGCATCGACAAGGCCCACACTAAAGCCCATATTTTTGAGGGCCAGAGAAACATTCACGGAAGTCGTGGACTTGCCCACACCACCTTTAGCGCTACATAATGTGATGACACGTTTGATACCAGGTATTTTAACGCGAGAAAATTTCATTTTATGAAAAATAAAAAAGCTTATTAATACCTGTAGAAAGGGGTATTAGATAGCATAGAGAAATTAAATGCACTAAAAGATAATGAATTCGAAAAAAAAGATTGATGGATGAAATTCGTAGAGGAAAAATTTGCTTCAAAATAAAGTAAACGATGCGAATCAATACAGGTGCCGTTCAAAAGAATAAAATAAAGTAAAACAACACTAATAACCTCAGCAGGGATACCCACTTAGAGCCACCGCATTCAGATTTATTCCCCTTGTAATTCATAATAATACAAATCAATCAAGCAGGTCAAGCACAGAAAGCTTCGAGGGGAAAAAGTGAGTAAGATTGCATTTTAATACCTAACGTCATCACATCAACGCTTTATCGAAGCTTGGTGAAGCCGATGTGTTCGGCATTCTCACGAAAGCACTGACGGCAGATGTTGAGCTCGTACTTGCGAATGATGGCCTTCTGATTGGAGCAAATCACGCAGTGTCGGGAACCTTTTCCCATGCCAATCTTCTGGCGGGAGCGCCACTGTTCGAGATGACCCATGATGTTCTATATTTTAATGAGCTAATTGGGAATTTAAAAATATGAGGGCAATGTAAACCCGTAATGAGGCTATGTATCAAAATAATTATTCAATAATTGCGTTAATAAATTGTTTTGTCAAAGAAAGGGAAAAACATAAAAGAAAAATTTAAAATATTACAACTGTCTAAATACCGTGAAACAAACACACATACACACAGTACCCATACTGTTAAAGATACATTTTTTGTGAGGAATCGCCTGTCTTAGATTATCGATTTCCCCTAAGTTATAAATTCAAGAGCAAATATTTTAGAATAGCAATCAATATAAAATGAACACAAGATTAAAAAAGAGAGAACCTTAAAAAATGGTATGACCAAATTGCCAAGACTATACACTATTTTTTTTAGAATAAGGAATCTCTTCAAGAGCACGGACTGATAAATATCCAGAGTTTTTCTTTTCCGTAAAGAACCTTGGAGCGAACTTAAATGTATATAAAACCTGAGGTAATACTACGACTCGTGCGAATATTTGAATCAAATGATAACTCAGAGAACAGAAATGTGTAAAATTTACATTAGGAACCGTCATTCACTTCGTCTTCACGCAGCCAAGGTCAGTTCATCCGAAGGACATGCTTGTTCAACTGCTTGAATCAGCACATCTTCGGCAATATGCTCGCACAAGAAACCAAAGATCTCTCGATTATTACAAGGGTATTTGCAAATAACAGCGCGATGTCCAAATCGACGCGCTCCCAAACGACTCCAGAACCCGCCACCTTTAAAGTGCTTCACCAGACGTGCCTGGAAATCCACAAGACAGTGCTCAAAAGGCCCCACGCGCTCGATGATGCGCGCTGCGATGTCCCGCTCGCGTGGTAAGATGTCCACCGGCCACCGCTCCGGAGTGAGTTCGCGCAGCGTAGAGGTCAAGGCCGATGGCAACTCCTCCCGCGTCGAAACCACCGGTAACATCGCGGCTGCACTATCTCTAGAAGAATGGTTTGAGGGATCCTCTTCCTTTCCTATCTGACTGTGCACCCGAAGCGACCCCTGGTCCGTTGGTAAAACGCAAAACACAGAGCTGTATGCCATGACCGTTTGGTCTCCCAGAACGCCCACGAGAATGCGCCGCTTAAAGGCCTTCCAGATATCCAAGTAAGGGTCCTGCAGGAGAATATCGATCAGTGTGTCGGAAACCAGAAACATGTCGCGCAGAGTAGAGGACAAGGGTACAAACTGGTCCACCACCCACCGCTTTAGGCGCGAGGGCATCTGGGCAACACCGACATGAGGGGCTGCGATTGTGCAGAATGTTTCCCAGTATACTTCAACAAAGCTCTTGTGGGGGTCGTTGCCCTTTATAAAACTGTCTGCCCCAGGAACTTCAAAAGGGAATCGACAGTCATACCTTTTACGCAGAGAGGCCGCGAGGAGTGGAAGCGCTGCGCGGATGATAAGCCCCCCCATGGAATGAGCTACAAAGCTAAAATGCAAATGTGCGGTCGAGGCCGTTCGTGTGCTTCTGCCGCCGCAAGATACCCCTTCACCTTTATCTTCTGTCACTGAAGATGTACCAACCTCAATCTCAGTTGGATCCAATGGCGCTAAAGCGTCCTCTACCCTCTTCATGACGTAGTTTGCTACTCTTTCACCACATTCCATAATCCCATCCCCTGTGCGATTCCAAGAATTCACCGTCGGCTCTAAAATGACGAAGGTATTAGACGACGACGTCTCCCGACGCAGGAGTTCGACAAAGTAACTGAGGTCCTTGGCGGTGCCGTAATAACCATGTTGAAGCGTCACAAAATGATAAATAAGCTCTACCATATCAACTCTTTTCAGTGGTAATATGTTTCAATATAATTTTTGCTCAAGTTCAAGCGTTCGAAAAGAAGCACTCACAAACCTTTGAAAAGGTTTGTGGAGGACCAGTATTGAGAACCTTTGAGTAGACGGAATAAAAGCCTTTATGAATAGGTTCAAGCTAAAGAGTGGAACTCAATAGCTCAGCATTCAAAGATATAGAAATAAAATGTGAAGGTCTCTAATGCATCCATATAGAGGGAAATATATAATAAATAAAATAAAGAAGAAAAAACGTACAACTGAGTAAATTTAATATAGACGTCGATATAAATACGATTTACCCTTCCTTTTTCAGGAGGTGAGATGAAAAAATTAGATCTGTTCATATTATCCATTTTATTAGGACATTTTTATAAAGAATGTCTAGATTTTGAACACTTTGAGGGCGTTTCTAGGTTCTCCAAGTACCTTTTCAAGTCATTAGAATCGTTTCTTCATATTCTCGAGATTACCCTCTGTTCGAATGTACTATTAAACTTGTTGAATGAGTAAACTTATCATATCTAACGTGATAGACTGCATTCAGATTTCATCCTCAAAAAAGGGAAGCCTTAAATTTGCAGAGCTCCAGTTTAGTTTTCGTGCGCAACAATACGATCGTTTTCGTCTTCCTCAACATAACAGCGTGGTGCGACGATGCTATTGGTGATTTTCTTCGCCGCGCTAATCACGGCACCTGCGCCCACGACCGAATTGATGATCACCGTTTTGCCACCAATTTCGACGTTTGCCAAAATAATGCTGTCTGTAATGCGGGCACCTTCCCCTATCGTGACATTTGGCCCGATCACACTACGGGTGATAAACGTGTTCACCGAGGGCACCGACTCCACAAAGCTATCGACAATGTACACCTGCTGGTCTCCACTACGCTCCTTTAAGGTGAAGGGATTGCTAGGCAAGAGAAGGGCGATGGAGGCACCGGATGGCATCGGCGGGATGGCCGGAAAGAGGGGGAACCCATTGAAGTTCTTGGGAGGGGTCGGGATGGGGGTCGTGGTGACGCACGTGCCATAGCGATCTGGGCTTGTCACCCCCAGTGCCGTCCGTGACTTCGGAAAGACGGGCCACACCGATTGCACCATAGGTTCGGGGGATAACAGCAAGTGCTGGCATTTAATCCCTATAATTTCCTGGTTAATCGCATGAAAGTTGTCACGCTTGTTGATGCGGTAAATCTTGTAGGGTGAATTCGGGTGCTCCTCAATAATAGTGCAGAAAACCCGCAAGTTGTCGACTTTCTCCAGCAAAAATAAGCTAGGGACGGCGTTCAGCAGCTGGATGTCGATCGACTCGGTCAACTTCCTAAACATCCAGTGGGTTGAAATGGTGCGCCCAATTTTTTTTTCAGGCATGTGAAAAACGTTCTCGCTTGTGTTAATTGTAGTGTGCTGGTTTCGAGCAAGGAGTGGAATAATTGTTTTGCACACGCTCTCTTCGGGGATTCCGGCAGATTGAGCAATAAAATCGAGAACCCAATGCTTCATGATGTAGACGTTAGCATCCACAACATCCGCAGCGAAGGTCAAACTCGGCCGCCGGGCCGCAAAACCCATAGTGATACGCAACTCTGGATTATCATCAAGTGGATATGTGTAATATAAGCGGTGCCGCGTCAGCGCTTCATCATCAGGCATCGGGGTGGGGGTGGAAATAGAAGCAGTTGGGGCATTAGGCACAAAATGGTTATTAGAGATGCCTGCGGTCACTGCATCCGTCGTCGACAAAACTGGCACCTCGATATTCTTTCTTAGACCACCTTTTTTGTTATCGCTGCCTTCGCCAACGGCCACCATCGTTGCGGTTGGGTTTTCTTCCTCATAAGCAACACAGGAGTATTCGTACGTGAAAGCTTTTCGCACCGGCTCGGCCCCTGCACCACTTTTTTTTTTTCCTTCTTTTTTTCTTGCACAGGGGAGGTTGAAGCTTCAACATAAGGTCTAAAAAAGAGAGTCATGACAGAGGCCAAAGAACTGTAAAAGCTTGCGACGAAGGACTCAATATCAATCCCAGCTAAGATAGTTTCACAGTTAAGCAGCACTGCATCACGGTGCATCCCATGAAGCGCGGCATACTCCGCCTTCAGTGGGTCACGGTGGGAGCTGGAAGCGGAGAGATTTGCGTTGAATCCCGCCACACTGCCGAGCATGCTGCTTGCCGTACCCCGCTCCCCATCACTGCACTCCGCGATCGTCTCTGGTGATCGCATCTCATCAACGACGTAGCCGTCCGTTCCGGCGCGGTGCATGAACTCCTTGTATTTCAAATAGGCCTTTACCGCGTCACACGTTGTAGAGGGGTGCTCGTTCAGGTTGAGGGGGACCAACACAAAGTGAAACTCCAAGTCTGGGAACTCGCGGGTTAGGTAGGTGTGCTGGGTTGCGTAATCCTCATTGACACAGATGAAAAAGGTGCGAAACCCCGCATTGATCCAAGGGGCCAGACAGTACCAAATGAGAGGTCGATTGCAAATCCGAAGCATACTTTTGGGCTCAAATGCGCAGAGAGGCATCAAATCATGCGATTCGCCACAAGCAAAGATCACCACATCGAGCATGCAAGACGATGTGTTTTTGTACGGCGGTTGTCCGGCATCACGCATGGAGACGTATTGGCTCATAGGTTAAATGGAAAAGGGAAATTTGTGATGGAATCGATCGCTTATTCACAATGATTCCGTTACTGAAAGAAATTTCTATTCGCCTTCCTTGTTTATCACCTTCTTGTTCGGGTATATATATAGATATATATATATATATATGGGACTCGACTTTGTTGTAGAAAGAAATGAAATCGAAAGATAACTCTTTAATTTTAATCGAGCTATTTGCTAGTTCCCGATCAAGCAGTAAAGGAAACATAGCAAGCGGTTAGGCATTTTTTCTCAAGACTTCCGTACTTGGTACTAACAAATTCATCCTTACCTAGAGGGGAAATTTCCAATATTGTCAATAAGATTTAACCGTTGTGCCTTTCACTTACTTCCTTTATGGAAAAAAAATCTTAATTATTTTTTCCATGGATATATTGTACAACACACATATTGCTACAAGCCTTCCCACTTCCTAGTTTGCGCTTATGCAATACACGCATGGAATCTTTACCCACACCTAATTGCTGACCTACAAAGAAACCAATGAAATAGACCCTGGTAGGGTAGAAATGCAACTAAATATAGGGGCTTACATTTCTTTCTCAATTATTTTGACTCAAATCAGTGTGCTAACTTCAAAATAGATGATGATTTTGCTTCACATCAAGTATAAAAAACTTTTGCGATAATTGTAGACAAAAAGGTGTATGTATGGATAGATAACATCGATTCAAATATAAGGAAAAAAGAAGTTGACTAGGAAGTATAAAAAATCGTGCCACTTGCAGAAAAGCCCTCAGTCTATTTTCTTGATGGTGCAATCGCTACTGTATATTATGAGTGCATCGGTTGACGATCATAAAATGCATCTCGCGTCTTCATCTCAATCTTATTAAGCATACTCTTTGGAAATGTGCGCAACAACTCCCAGCAAAGATCTAAGCTCTGGAAGATATCCCGGGTCTCATGAAACCCTTGCTGAATGAATTTCTTCTCAAACTTCCCCAGAAACTCTAGGTAGAGAAGATCCTCACTACTGAGTGCTTCCTCACCTACCACAGCCTTCATGGCCAGGATATCACGACCGATCGCGTATGCCGCATACATCTGATTGCTGACGTCACTATGATCTTTGCGAGTCATTCCCTCCCCAATGGCGTTCTTCATGAGACGAGAAAGGGAAGGCAGAATATTCACCGGTGGATAAATTTGTCGGTTATGCAGTTGACGGTCGATGCAAATCTGCCCCTCCGTAATGTAGCCTGTAAGATCTGGAATAGGGTGCGTGATGTCATCGTTGGGCATGGAAAGGATAAGAATTTGGGTGATGGAGCCGGCTCGGCCGAGCACGCGGCCCGCGCGCTCGTAAAGACGCGCCAAATCGGTATACATATAGCCAGGGAACCCACGTCGACCAGGGACCTCCTCTCGCGCCGCGGATACCTCGCGCAGTGCATCCGCGTAGGAGGTCATATCCGTCAAAATCACCAACACGTGCATCCCACAATCGTAGGCGAGGTACTCCGCCGTAGTGAGCGCCAGACGCGGCGTGACGATACGCTCAATCGTCGGGTCGTTGGCGAGGTTCAGAAAGAGCACCGTCCGCTCCAGAGAGCCATTCTGCTGAAATTCGTTTCTAAAAAATCTTGCCGTCTCTTGGTTCACCCCCATCGCGGCAAATACCACACAAAACTCCTCAGCCTTTTCCCCATGCTTTACCAAACCGGATTGCCGCACGATCTGCGCGGCGATTTCATTGTGCGGGAGACCAGCCCCCGAGAAGAGAGTGATCTTTTGCCCACGGGAGATCGATGTCATGACGTCAATAGAGCTGATTCCTGTTTGAATCATCTCCTCGGGGTACACACGTGCACGCGGGTTGATAGGAATACCCTCGATATTACGGTACTGCTCCGGGAGCACCGGTGGGCCGTTGTCAATCGGCGTTCCAGAGCCGTTAAAGATGCGTCCGAGCATATCCTCGCTCACGCCAAGCTCCATCACCTTTCCCGTGAATTCACACTTGGAGTGCAAGACGTCAATACCCGAAGTCCCCTCGAAAACCTGCACAACCGCCTTGGTACCATCAATTTCCAGCACTTCCCCCCGTCGTATGCTGCCATCCGCAAGCTCGATCTTGACGATCTCCGCGTAAGTCGGCTTTCGGACATTCTCCACAATCACTAGAGGCCCATTAACCGCACGAATGGAGCTGTACTCCAGATGAGACTTTACCGTGTAGTCTTTTTCAAGGTTGGAGATATGATTGACTAGTAGCTCCTGCTTAGATAAAATACGTGGATCGTCTTGTTTCTCCGTCATGCTTTATCGTCTTTGTTGTTCTGGATTGTAGGAATATAAAAGTATTTTCTTGTATAAAACAATAGATTGAGTAAAAGGTTGATCCTTGTTTACTTAAAAATTTTCCAAATTATTAAGAAATAATATATAAATCAATGAGTAGATATCAGGGACAAGGGCATGGTATGAATCTTAGATGAATTATCAAGGTAAGGACAATTTAGGAAACCTTCTTAATCAGAACACGGAAAAACGATGATCATCATCACAGAAACTAAAGAACATATGTGAATAGAAGAGTTTTGCACCATTAAACACGTTTTTAATGCATAATTTCCTTTAAACCAATTATTTCTGAATTCAACAATACCGGTAGTATTTATTTCGCTAAAGTTCAGCCGTGTCGGTAAAAAGTAGAATTTCCATAAGCATAACATAATGACTCATTGTTCAAGATAAACATTGAACTAAAGAAATAAAAATGTATAAAATAAACACAAAAAAACATTTTCAATATTAAACTGAAAGGTCTAATAAAACCGCATACCTTTCTTTACAATTTATATACTATTTAACAAAGGTAAACAAATATGTTTTAAAACATAACTTCTTTTTGGAAACGTATAAAGAAAAAAAACATACAAAATTTTACCATTCTACCATCTAAATTTATCATTTTACTATGGAATCGTAAAAAGGATTCATCCCATACTAACTATGAAACTTATTTAATTGGGATTGATAATGGTATAGCATACGGCGCTATTAGCAAAAGAAAAAATAACTTCATTTTACTGAAAAGCGTAGTCTATTTTATTCTAGTTTAATACATGCAGTAAATGAAGTTACTAAATTTCGACTCATCAAATTTGTGTAATATACCTTTGTACTCTTCAAATTATTGCTAAAATACAGCTTCTAAAACATTTTATAGATTTTAAGTCATATTAATTGGTAAGTAATCTCAGTCAACTATTCAGACTAAATAATTATCTAAAGCGAACAGTTACAGATATATAGGTTATAAACACCACATATTTATAACAGGTAGCTTGTCTCCATGTTTTCCGTTTTTTTTTTACAGACTAAGGTAGCGCATCTCGTGAATTTCTTCTCCCTTACCTCTTCCTTATGATCCATTTTTTCACTCTTTGATTAGCATATTTATACACACAACTCAAATATTTGGAACCAGGCGTAGTTATTCACGTCAATTTATAGAAATAAAAATCTCAAAAGTAATTCGTTTAAGGATATGCCTTATTTTAGCTGTTTGTAAAAAAAAAAAGGAAAAAGAACAGCTTATGATAAATCCAAAACCATACGGGTAGGTTCCTCAATAAGATTTTTAACCTTCATTAGAAACGTAACCGCCTCAGACCCATCGATCAAACGGTGATCGTACGTCAAAGCGACAGCCATAATATCACGAATTTCGATTTTATCTCCTACAACCCACGGTTTCTTCTTAATAGCGTGCATTCCCAAAATCGCGCTCTGAGGTGGGTTGATGATCGGGGTGCCCATCCACGAACCAAACACACCGCCGTTGGAAATGGTGAAAGTACCGCCCGTCATTTCTGCCATGGTAAGCTTGTTATTCCGCGCACGTTCCGCGAAGTCCGTGATGGTCCTTTCGATATCGGCAAGATTAAGATTCTGCACGTCACGTATCACGGGTACGACAAGCCCACGCGGGGTGGCCACTGCGACCGAGATATCCATAAAGCTGTGGTAGTCAATCGTATCTTTGCCGAAAGAGGCGTTCACACTCGGCACGTCCTTCAGCGCAATTGCGCAGGCCTTGACAAAGGGAGACATGAGCCCCAGTTTCACGTCGTGACGCTTGTGGAAGTCATCCTTGAACTTGTTGCGAATGCTCATAATTGGCGTCATGTCGATCTCATTGAAGGTGGTGAGCATGGCGGCAGTGTTTTGGCTGGCTTTTAGACGATCGGCAATGCGCTGCCGCATGGAGGAGATTCGGACGCTTTTAATGCGTGGATCGCTACCGAAGAACTCCTGCACACGTGGGGCGGAGGGGCGCTCGGGCGCCGGATCCGCCTTCGGGGGAGGGGTCGCCGCCTCTACCTTGGCGGCAGGGGCCTCGGATTTGGGGGTGGGCTGCTCGGCCTTGGGCGTTGGGGTCTCAGCATTGGGGGCCACCGACTGTTTCTTCATCTTTGAGAGTTCGGCGCCCACCTCGACGTCATCACCGTTTTGGAAGTTAATTTTGGTGATCACGCCATCGGCTGGAGCGCGTACATCCACGTTCAGCTTATCCGACTCGATCTGGCAGATAACCTCATCCTCACTAACGGGATCACCTACATTTTTGGTCAAGTTCACGACTTTTCCCGAATTAATGGACTCCGCAATCATTGGGACGTTGATGCTAATGCAAAATCGAAGGGCAAGAGCGTGGGTGCCACTGACCAGGGCAGTCGTCGGTTGTATGCTGGTAAAAAGACGGCGAAACATCATCGTCTAAATTCTCTTTACACACTAAGAATTTAAGAACAATAAACGTACGTTAGGTTGAGTTTTTACACCAAAAGAATCCAAAGAAAAGAGTAAAATAAAATCTCTATGGAGTTGAAAAAAAAGAAGTGGAGAACAAAATGGAGCTATTCGAATCGACATATAAGTAAAAAGAGGAAATTACCATGTACGATAGAAGAAAAGATTTATTAGGCAAAATAGACATAGTAAATGGATTAGAATTAAAAACATACGAATATGCAAACTCGTGCTCCTCAACCTGAGAACCTTCAATTATTCAGATTAAGTTTTAACATTGCACATTTTCTCACAAAATTTAGCATTTGTATAAAATAAAATGGCAAAGTATAGTAATGAATTAGAATGAGATTTGCATTATCCAAACCCATTAACCTGATTTTCCATTATGTGCCAACCGGGATGTTAAAGTACTCTGAAAAAAGGAAAACACCGCATTATCCCAATATAATATACCAGCCGCGTACAAAATTCCGGCTGCTATAACTTTGGGAAATGAGAAGGGTGTGAAAGCGTTATAAGTGAGCAGCAGAACAAGATAACCCATCAAATAGGGGCTAATTGATGCCTTTTTTAGAGTCTTAATGGTCAGAATAGCACCGTGTTCAGCCTCTTCACCTGCTCCCGTATTGGAATGTGATGGGTTCGAAGAATCTCTAGTAGACTTTTCATCGCCCGATAAGGAAAGGGACGCATCATGATGTAAGTCAGATTTTTTTCGATATCCACCTCTCGGCCTCTGATTACTACAAGTAAGCAAATAAAACACACAGCACATACGGCACCCCGTATTGGCAATACTAGCTGCAATGAGGTAGACCACGGTCTTTGATTCGTGATTGGCATTATCTTTTTTGTCTAAATCGCCATGTTGCTTGTTGCAGTAGCGCAATAGTAAATAACACGCAAATATATAGAGAAACGAACCAGCAGCCATTACGTGTTGAAGACGACGTAGCATCGCAGGGGACGCAACAGCACGCAAGAATGTTTCCAAAAGACCTAAAATAGCCGTTAAAGGCAATGAACAGAAGTAGCATTTGAGCGAGTATATAGCATCAGCGCTGGTCCAGTGGCTGGAATAGAGTGTTTTCAAAATAAAGGGTGCCATTTGAGAGCCTATTAGTGTAAAGCTAAAGCCAAGATAAAAAGCAAGTCGCAGCATTACACAAAGCAAGTCCATTGCGATATCAATTCGACCTCGGGCTACATCTTGGCTCCACCGCACAAAACAGCCGCTCTCCCAGACATGAAAAACAAGTCTCACAACCGTAGAGCCAAGGTTTATGATGAGCTGATAAATCCCTCGGTCTGTGGCCGTCCCCATCACGCTCAACGCAACGCTCTCGCCACCCGAAAGTGCCACCCGCAACAGGCTTTCAAAAAAGAACGATTTAAGAAGATGAAACTGAGAAGCACAAGTCAAAGCCATTTTTTTATACTCGATATCACACCAAGGGAAGGGCAAGATTCCCCGCCACCACCCTTGTGACACACTTTTAGAAAGAGATACCGCCCGGAGCTGATCCAGGGTTGTGCTCCCACCTAAATAGCGCCATAGGAAAGGCCTGCCAGAGCATAATAACCCATAATAGACTATATTTACCAATGAGCAAACCAGCTGCCCAAGCGCGAAGATCATACGCGTGCGCCATGACGAATGAAGACTATAGAAATGCACCATGGAAATAGTGGTCAACAGACGGCCGGCAATTGATGCAAACTCGGCTACTACGACAATATGCATCATGTCCAATGCATGGACAAGAGCAACGCATGGCTCAGAAAGAGATCTGACTATAGTACTAAACCACACTATAAGTTCTGGTAAAATAGGAATGATAAACTGTGCAGCAAAATACCGAAGCCTACTCCCTTGAACTTGGTTCTGGGTTAATGGGGGTGGCAATATGGTCTCTTGAGCATTGGACAAAAGAGAAGGTAATATATTCAGTCCAGTCACGGAAACGCAAATCTCCAAAGCTGCCATAACAATTAATACAAGGGGTACGGAGAGCGCTGAGAGATTCACCACTTGACGTATTGCTTCTCTTGAAAAAAAACTGTTATCATCGCTGCTGAAAATATTCCTTAAATTCTCAGAATCCTTATGCTGTGGTGAGGGACAATCAGAAGCATTTTTTTGACTTCGAAGGTTTATCCGATAGACTACACTGCGTATTGCCTCCCTAGCAATGTAGATCACTAAATCGACATAAACTGTGTAAATGAACCCTACCCCACTCTGAGAAGGTAAAAGAATGCGAGTCAGGTAAAGTGAAAGGATGAAAGTAATGGATCTTAAGAAGAAGTTCAATCCTGAAGCTAGAGCTAATCGATTGTAGAAGCTCATATGATTTTTTAGTAACCACCTTAAACTTCTTGATAAATGAGAATGCGTGTTACTATATGCGTATTGTCTTTGACTATTTTTTTTTGCCTTCTCAGTGTCTAAAATAGCACGCAAAAACATAAAAGGGATGTTGGTATCTAAACTATAAATGATAGGATCATTCACGCCTCAAATATATTTTGGTACCTCATACATAAGCCTTTATCTAAACTTCTGGAAAGATGCACAAATACTCCTAGAGAGTAATAGAGAAGGTAAGACAATTAAAAACACAAGTGATTAAATTTAATAACTAAGTACCAGCGACACTAGTTTTAAATACTAATAAAACTAGTGATAGACGGAGTATATTATTATGTTAAATGCTTCCCACACAGGCACACCCTTCCATTTATTAGTTCGTTTCGTCTGCTTATGCGCTTAAAAATAGCAAGTACAAGGAAAACAAATAACCTTAAAAAAAAAACATATCATCGTGACACAGATCAAATTTAACAGGGCGATGTGGACTCCTCTCTTAGTCTTTTTCAAGAACATCCACTGGGCTTTTATTTCCGTCTTTGCATTCATTTCCATTCTCTAGGGCTAAACTATTGTCACCCCCCAGGGGCTCAAGACGTCGTCGCGCGAAGGTAAGGTACGCGCTGTGCCCCTTGGACACCAGGGCTGGGCGGAATCGTAGTCCGTCACGGTCTCCAGCTTCTCGGGCACGCTTGTAAACTGGCTCAAAGTACTTTGTAAGGGCCTCCACGGTGTGCACATCAACGAACTCCTGTGGTGACTCGCGTAGTTTGGAAGCTGTGTGCTGTGTTTGCTCGATACAGGGCGAGAAAGTGCACAACATACCGTTGGGCTTCAAGATGTGCCGAACGTTTTCAATGGACTCCCATGGAGCTGGTACATCAAGAAAGACCGCGTCGACGGAGCAACGAGGCAGTCCGAACCCGCATAGAGGCTTTATCATATTAGCGACATCCACTTCCTCGTCTACCTGGTCAGGATCGATATCGGGCACGCCGGTGTTGACAGCACACACGTCTCGCCAGTGGCTGGATACGAGCTTGGGTCCGATCCCATTGCCTCGGAACTCACGTCGTGCCTCCAGGCAGCGATCCTTGTGAAAGTCATATGTGAAAACAACGCCTTTAGGAAAAACTGCTCTAGCCAATGAATGAGTGAGACTCCCGCTGCCGGTGCCCGCTTCAGCCACACGCTTGTTGGGTCCTAGATTTAATTTGAAAACTATAACGGCAATATCGGTGTCGTAAATAATCTGTGTACGATGTGGTACTGCCTGCGTCCACAAGTCTGCACTATTCTGTAGCACTAATATAGAGGGTGTAATGGGGTCGTCTTTGATGTTGCTCAGACCTTGGATATAAGTTCCGAGTGGTTTACCGATGATATCGTTGTGAGCAAATTTGCCCTCCTTACAATGCAGAATATCGCCTGCTTTAAGCTTCAGGGGCGTCAGATTGAGGTAGTTGTGGAACACAAGTACAATATCAGACTCTTGTGCGACAGCTGTTCCTCGTGGGGCCAACATTAGAACCTTCGTTGCGGTACTGGTAATAGTAGAAGTAGTCTTTTATCAACGGAATTTTTTTATCCTTAAGCCCCTCTATTTTTTGATCTAATAATATAAAGTAGTATTCAAAATAAAGAGGCAAGACTCAACTACGCATAACTTTCTTTTTGTTAGGTTTGGTTACACCGTCAATTCCATTAAATAGAATTAAAAAAAGGGGTTCATCCATATGCTTACCAATAAGTCTATATATCTTTTAATGAAAGAGAAAGATGTATAAAAATGTACTTCCTTTTTTTTTACATATTTAATATTCTGCGTTGTAAAGCACATATTTCGCAGGAGTTCTATCCTGAGAATATGTCTATATAAATATAAAAATACAGTGTCAAAAATATTTTTTTTTACTATATTTGAGAGATACGCAAGCAAAACAAATTGACAAAGGCAAAAAAAATCTACTAGCATATTGTTGATATAATTCTATATTACTGCATATATATATAAACTGCATTTAAAAATGTACAGGTGCTAAAAGTGCGCATCAGGGGTTTCTGTAATAGAAAAAAAGTACTCTTTGAATGCATGATCCCATTTCTTTTTTAAGGCATCACTGTGAGTGGATCGTAACTGTGACTTACTCTCTTGTTTGAGCGGCATGTGCCGCCGCCCAGTTACCGTTGAGACTAAATTAGAAAGTCGGTTGTTTAAACCGTCAATAGAGAGTGAAAGGAGTTCTGAAGAGCGGGATGTATGCAAATGATGCGAATCAACCATCCCTACCCACTGTGTTCGACACAAAGGTTCTTGAGAATGTAACGTGAAAGGGGGCGCTACTACTGCAGAGGGGGACCAAAATAATGACCCAAACGGCTCCTTTTGGGTCCCAGATACCTCAGGGCTGGAATGCCCCTGACGCAAAGACTCCAAATCGCGGTGCCGCTCCGCGACATAATCCCTCTGCTGCTTCCAATACCAGAGCGCATCGGATGCCTGAAAGTCGCTTGAAACTGTCATCCCCTGCGGCGACGTGGACAGCTCATCGGTGGCGGCAGGCTCTATCGACTGCAAAAGCGTCTGTGACTGGTACACACTTCTGTTTCCTGGAATATTCTGCGGGGTCTTGTGGATGCCAGAAGAAACGCCTTCATGAATTATCGCCGTCTTTCGTCTTGACAACTCAGCAAGTTCCTTTTGAAGGGTCTCTTCCTGTTCACGATAGCCTTCCTCCAAGGCTGCCATCCGAGCCTCGTGAACGTCCTTCAAAATGCTTGCCGATGCTTCTGTGGTGAGCTCAGAAAAGTCGTTCGGAGACTCACTCTCAACTTCATTTGAAAGGCTTTCCTTGAGTTCATGCGCCTTGAGTTGTTTCGCTTTCAGCGTCTCGACTAACTGAGCAAGTTCTGCTTGTTGGGAGAGGAATAAATCACGTCGCTCACTAATAAGCTTCTCTAAGCACTGCGCGTCCCCACTGGAATTATTAGAGCCCACAGAGGTGTTATTAATTTTTAGAATGAGATTTTCCTTCTCAGCAGCAAAATAAGCCTCCACCTCGGCGTCTATCTTATTACGTAGAGACTTTTCCTCCTCTAAATATTGCAAACGGCGACTCTCAAGAGCCAACTTTGTACTTTCAGCCAGGACTGCCTTCTCTTTTTCCTCTGCCTCAGCAACCTCGGTAAGTATTGGTGCCACCTTGTTTAGATCTCCTAACATTTGTACCTCATGAGGCTCAGTTTCAGTGAGTGTTTTTTCTCTGGACGTGTCAAATTCTTCAGGAAAGCACTCACGAAGAGCGGACTCCTGTTTAATGTGCAAGTCCATGTCAGTATCAACAGCTTCCTGAACACAATCTTTGGCCTGCCGGTGTGCACCACAAGCTCGTGCGTTTTCAAGCTCCGCAGCTAAACGCTTGGCCAAATCCTCTTCTAGAGATCTGTAGCGCGCTTCCAAAGCCGACAACTTCGCCGCATGCTGATCTTTGAGCTCATGGATAGTGGAGTCATTAGAGGTTTCTTCTGCCGTGGTGGTAAGTGTTGCACCCGATGCGGGAGGTTGAGATAGCTTTGAATTTTCTGTGCAGAGGGCTCGAAGCTTCACCTCTCGCTCCTTCGACAACCTCTCCAGTGCCCTTTCTTTTTCATTGTCATATTTAGCGCGTAGCGCTGCTAATTGGGCATTATACTCTGTATCAATCTCCACTGATCCAACTGCAGCGTTAGGAAAATGGGTAACATCTTCACTGACTTGCTTTTGAATATTCTTTGTAGAATCCTCCAAGATAGCCAACGGGGGACTAGCGGGCTTCTCCGAAAGTTGCGCTCGAAGACTAGCAAGAAGAGCATCCTCCTCCTTACTCCACTCCTCCTCCTCCTGGGGGGCCTTGACTCGAAGCTCGACACAGGTGGAATCCCCCTTGGTGATGATTTCATTGAGAGCGGCTAAGTTACCCTGGTTACTTTCAGCACCAGGAGAGGAAGAAGATGACATGTCCGCAGAGGAAAGAACATTCGTCATGTTGCGTATACTCGCTTCAATTTTTTCCTTTTCCATTATCAGTCTCTTCCGTGTCATTTCTATTGATGACGAGAGTTGTGCTTCTTTTTGTTGAAACAAATTGTCCAGCGTCTGTTTCTCTCGTTCCAAAGTCGCCTTGGCACTCATTTTGATCTCGTCAGACTTTGCTTTAAAGAGCGCATCCAGTTCTTTCTTTTTGTCCTCCAAATAGTCCTCCATTTCGAGGTCCATCCCTTTGGTCATGCTCTCCTTATCGGACGCGGTCTCCCTCTCCGCTGCTAACAAATTTCTGGAAGCAAGATCTTCTTTGCGAGATTTATCCATACGTAACTCCTTTAGCTGAGCCTCAAGGCTCTTCGTCTCTTTCTCTAAGTCGGCAAGACGAGAACTATACTTTTTGTCAAGATATGCGCGTGCTTCCGCTATGTTATAGGCTCTAAACTCATCACCTTCCTCAACTACTACACCGGCGTCCTCATCGACTCCATTGCGCTTGGCATTTTCTTCCCGAATCTCACGTAATTCGTCTTCGTGCTGTTTGCGCATGGCCTCCAGCGTGGCTTTCTGGAGATTTTGTGCCTTTACCTTTTCGGCTTCAAAAGACTCCTTTACCTGAGCACGAATGGTCTCCTCTAGGGCAGTCTCCGATTCAGAAACAATACGCGATTGAGAAGCAGCTAAAGTTACTGATGTTGATTCGTTTGGAAAGGAAGGAATCGGTAATACCATCTTGGAGCCACCTGACGTGAGCGACGCACTAGTAGGTATAGTGCACCGTTCAGGTATAGGCAGTGCAGTATATGCAGCCACAGGCACTTGACGTGCCATGGCATCTTCCAAAACTCGTTTAGTCGAATCGGTTGTGGTGCTGTGTGAAAGATTAGCATTAGACTTTGTCTTCATGATGACGCTTTGACTACACGGAGGTGGTTTCTGATGTGCTTGGGATTGAGGGGCGCTGTTCCCCTGACTGCTAGTGCTGCTGCAATTCCTTGAAGAATTACTAGGGCTGGCCTTGCTTTGATTATCAGATTGCTGCTTCTTTGCTTCCTTGAAACGTTTTTGGTAGACCGTATCCATAGGGTGTTTCCATGTGCTTTCACCCGTCTTGAAGTTGAAGTAATAGATCTCATCATCATCAGTACGACAAGGCTTCCACTCCTGGGGGAGCTGAGCCTTGAGGCCCTCTCGCGCCATCCACAGAAACATTTTGTCCTCTGGCAGCTTCATTCCTAGCCACTCTGCGTAATCCTCGATCTCTCCTTGCGTCGGCTCATAGTTCTCATCGACAACATCGTCCAAGACCTGTGAAATGGTGCCATCCTCCCCGATAAAGGTTTCCCCTGATTTCGGAATAGAAAAACTTCCTTTCTTTTGAGTCGTCATATATAATACTAAAAAAAAAAAGAACCATAAAAAAATATACAAAAAGAAAATGGTAAATATGCCTTATCACATGATGTAAAAGAAACAATGCGCATGTATGCACTTTATTAATGCATCAAGTCCCTCCCCTTTCCCTTCATCGGCACGATAAAGAATACACTGCATAAGGATTGGAGTGGTTCTCTTTTTGTCAAATAGTTGGCCTTCTCATTGCTAGAGTGAAACAATTTGGTGTGAATTCATAGGAATGATATATAATGCAGTACCAAGAGATGGCCAAAAATAAAAAAGGAGAGAGAACGAATAGCTACCGTTGGGCAAAGTCTGGATTGAAGTTAGGATCCAAGAAAATTCTTGCCAGTTCGTCCTTGTTCATTTCCACTTCCAATAGCTTACCCTCCTTAATGAGCCTTGACAGCACCAGGTTCACATACCGCAACTCCATCTCTAGTTGCGAACGATTCAGTGAATGCACCTGTTCCAAATACCATGTCACCAACTCCGAGCGAAGAGGGGCATTTTCCTCCCCGAGAGTCTGAATCCGCGTTAAAAGACGGTTGACGATGCTAAAGTAGTGATCTGCAGTAATTGTGACCTTGTGCGACTGCGGTGGAGGGGATTGCACTGGAGGTGCGGAAACACCAACCTCAGGCAAATGTTGAGTATCAGTGTCGGTCTGTGTGGCGGTATGGGAGCTGCTTCCAAATTCCCCTCTCCCCGCCGCATTGGGTTCTTCCTTTACGTTTATGGCCCCGGTTTCTGCCTCGTCAGGGTGGTCAATAGGGCCACCAGTTAACTCCACGTCCGTCATATCCAACGTCGACAACGACTGCCGCATAAGCTCAAGTGCCACCTCGACATGGCTGGGCGTCACCTCATCACTAAGGTAGATCTTCGCGGTGGCCTCGGAAAGTCGTATGATACTTTCCAACAAACGAGTCGTGACGCGGTAAACTTTGCTTCGATTTGACAACGAGTCCTGCAATCGCATATCGCGGTAGGCCGCTACGATGATCTGGGAGGTGGCCGGCGTCAGTCGCGGAGTAAGAGAGCGGGCATAGCGGAGGTAGAGCTGAAAGTCCTCAGTGCTGAAAGGCGGGCAGACTGCAGCACCACCGAAGCGGTGCAGACGTAGCATCTGATCCGCAATCGCATAGTCCGCCTCTTCGCCGGTGTCGTCAACGATCACAAACATCAAATCAAAGCGCGACATGATAGGCGCCGTGATGGTGATGTTCTTCTGGATAGGCTTACGGCGGTCGTACTTTCCACCAATCGGGTTCATCGCCGCGAGGAGAGACGTCTTCGCGTTCAGTGTTGCTTTAATGCCTGCCTTTGCAATCGAGATAGTCTGCTGCTCCATAGCCTCGTGGATCGCGACCTGATCTCGGATATCCATCTTGTCGAACTCGTCAATACAGCAAATCCCACGATCGCTGAGCATTAACGCACCCGCTTCAATCGTTCGCTCGCCCGTATCGGCGTCGCGCGTTACGGTCGCGGTGAGGCCGCTCGCCGTCGACACCTTCCCGCCCGTGTACACCCCACGCGGCATGTTCCTCGAAACCCAGAGCAAAAATTGTGATTTCGCAGTTGATGGGTCACCAACAATACAGACATTGATATCCCCACGCAGCGCGATCCGCTCGACGGTCGTCTTAGAGACCCCTCCTACCATCTGCAGGAGCAGTCCGAGCTTAACGACGTCGTGCTTAAACACATTCGGCGCGACGCAACGCGTGAGGGCCTTCAGCAAGCCCTCGTGGTGACGTATCTGCTGGACCTTTTGTGCTTCCGCATAGCTAAGGAGCACTTCCTCCCGCGCGTCCATCCCATCTTCATTGAGGGAGCCCTTGACAGCTTCCTTCATTTTTCGATCATCTCCCGCGTTGTCGGTGATGGTGGTGGCAAGAAAACACATGCGGTAGTTGAGCTCCCGCACCCCCAGCGCCCGCAGCCCGGTCGCGCCCTCCAACTCGGCCTGCGCATCCTGCTGTGCGCGTTGGGGTCCGGTCATCTGCTGCTGAACCTCGCGGCGGTTGGACAAGTTAAACAGTTTCGCCACCTCCGGAACAACAACGGGGCAACCCACGGCGATAACGCGGTCCCCCGGCTTTGCCACCTCGACGGCGTCGCCGCGGACGATCACCTCCATCGTCCGCGGCATACACCCTGGCGGGATGTTATTTGCGTCCTCCTGCATCCGAAGCTTCTGCCAGTCCCCAAAAAGGGTCTTGGGGTGGTGAAGAATAAGGCTAAAGCGAGATTTATTCTCGCACACTGAGTTTCGGCAAGCTGGCGGCTCGGTATAGCAAAACTGCTGCTCAATCGGGTTACTCTCCGTTCCGCAGTCGAGGCAGCGAAAGACGCCGACGAGGAGCTCCGGACGGACCTGAGAGGTCCGCGTAACTACCCCGCGCAGACTGCACAGCCTCCCCACCATTGATGCGCGAAGCGCCCGAATTGTCAGGCAGCGAGGTACGCCCGAGAAGACAAACTGGGGCTGGCATTTCCCACGATTCGCGTAGTCCTCGGTGAAGTACTGCTGCAGCACGCGGTGAAGCGCCTCGTTCATAAACGGGGCAAAGCGCTGGTAGTCCGACTCCATCACCGCCGCGGCGTCCTCATCGAAGCGAAGCATGTGATCCCAGTTCACAACGCAGGTTGACCAATCCAGCGAGGTGCTGATGCGTACCATCTGTCGAACAATATAGGTGTACTCGCTCAGGGTGTCCGCCCCATCCGCTTCAACCAATGCGGGATTCAAAGCTGAAAAAGAAGAAAATACGGACGGCGCAGTGGCTGCCGCGGCGGCATCCGAGTTCTGTCGAAGTGTGGGGTCCACCAAACGGCTGAGAAAAAGATAAATGACATCGCGTACACGAATGCCGTCAGCGTCGACCTCCATAACCGCTGCCGCCTCTATGGGTGGCACTGGCAGTGCAGGATCATCAGTAATGTCTACGGCACGCATCCTCACATTTACTCCTGACAAGTAGGCTAATACGAGCGAAGAAAACACACAGGGTTGCGTATTCTATGTTGCCTTTTTATTATGAGTTTATTTTCAGATAAATAAATTTAAAAGGGCTTTAAAATAACTTTAGCCCTCTTCCTTTTAAAAAGTGCATTCATTAATAGTAAAAGGGAATAGAAAAAGGCTTGATCAATAAGACCAATGAAAATAAAGATCTCAACATCCCTTAATCAACACTGAGGGAATAGTCGCGTTACCAAGGATTACCATCCAGAAATTGAAAAAGCATATATATTGATAGGGAGAGAATATATTTATCGCAAATGGGGTTTCTAGATCTTTATGGTTCTATCATGTTTTAAATGAAAAATAGAATACATTAACATAGATGATAAATTAAAGACATTGAATATCAATGTAACTATTTGTCATCATCCCAAAGATGAGCATACGTGTTTGGAGTAATAAATACACACATATTATCAACGGTTATAGACACAGATATTTGAAGACATTCAAATACAGGCTTGGATCAAAAAGAATATGCAAGTTAGAAAAGCAAAAAAATAAAACATTATATTTTTGGGTGATATATTAATGATATGGTTACTTGAAAAAAAGATATAGTTGTTAAAAAAGACATTATTTAATAGAGTAAGTGTAAGAGAAGACTTTTAAAGGTATACCTCGTAAACGATAAATTATTTGCCCTTTTCAACTAAACTTCATCCTTCTGCTCATTCAGCTACTTATAATAAAGCCGTCTTACATTACCTCTAGTTGTTCAATGCTATCTATATTAGCTATTGTCAATGTTTTTTTTCATTTCTTAAAGATACCGGCTATGTTATTTATATATAATAAAGAAATATATAATATGTATGAATAAGAATAAAGATAAGTAAAGGAACTACTCCTTTCCCCAAGCAGTTAGATAGTATTAACACTTTTCATAGATATTATTAGTCTTAATCATAATCTCTCTCGATATAAAACATGCATTTTCCACTACTAACTGCTTTCATTGACTAAACAAATTCATTATTCTTACTCGCTTTATCACAAATGATTGATGAAAAAAAAAAAGTTTGAGGATATATTATTAAACAAAAGACGCTATTGACTGCAACAAAAAGCCATAACGCGTGTTCTAGTGTTTCGACTAATATGCATCGTTATAAGTACTACATTATGACAAATTAAAAGTCCGATTTAACCAAACCCATTAATACACGAAATTAGATGATACCTCATTTAACTCCCTTTTTAGTGTTTGAGTTACCCAAGTAATCCTTTAATTTATGCAAATAATCATAAGTATTAGAGTGCAGATCCCCCTCTTTCACACACAATATTAAAAAGTGATGTAGGCCGAGGACTAGAATGATATAAAGCACGGAAACCAAAACAAGCGAGCCTCAGAAATGTGATTTATGGTTATAGCATAAAACTACGACACCAATACAAAGTGGAAAAATAGGGAACGCCAGCGCAACCAACACCGTCCAGTGTTTGAACGACTTCTTCGGTCCCACTGCTAGAAGCGCACCGGAAAATAGCGTCACTGCAATAATCAGCACTATGTGCATTGCCGCACATACTTGCCCTGAACGCCTCGAAGGAATCAGAGATGAGGTAGAGAATATAAGCGATGTACCCAACACGGCGAGCAGACTTGTGAAAAAAGATGGAAACGATTGGAGGAGGGAGGCCGTTAGAGCGGTCCGCCGCGATACTTCGAGTGCAAAGAGGTTTGAGGTAGATAACTGCAAGTAGTCCGTATACTCGCCTGTGATGTGGACGACATATTCCATGCTTATTGGAATTGTACTCGATAGGCACATCTGCAGCACGGTGTCCAGTTTCCAATTGAATAAATTACACATCACCAATGTCCCAAACCCAACCATCGTCACAGTCATCGCCCCACCTAGTGCTATTGTCAAGCTCACTGAAAGAATCAGAAATGCTAGAAAACACACAATCACACCTATGGTCACCGTTACCCAAAGACCACGTGTCGAATACACAAAAAAAAATGCAGACTGAAAGGGCAATGAGGTTAACAGAACGCTAGTATTAACCTCTGATAGCATGGGTCTTAAAACATCCGTTACTTGTTTCTGAAGAACATTGTACAAGTGGAAGACGCTCTTGGGATTGGCGAAGTTAACGTACGAATTAGATTCTTTGCTCGCGTAAGCAGTCCGTACAGAGAGTAAAGAGAGTCGGTAAATCATGTGTGTTAGTGCTTTTGGCTTGAAATTGGAATCTATTTTGAAGATAACTTCCGCCATGCGGCCATTGATTACAGCATAATTGTACACGTCTTCCAGAGACTCTACAGTATCTTTATGACCCACACTTCTCAAGTAGTCCTCCATGAAGCAAGGAGCAATCTTCGTGTGCATAAATTGCCCTCTAACGGCAGTACAGAAAGGTAGTATGTATTTGGTCATATTCAATTCGGCAATGTTGGTCACGCCTGTAAAGTCGATTAAATAATTTATAAAAAAGGGGTGAATATCTTGCTCCGTATCGCAATCATTGTTACCTCCACACACTCCACAGTTGTCATAAACTGTACCGCTGTTCGGGATTCCATCACACCCCCTGCACTTGCCGTCGCCACCGCAAACACCACACTGATCCATGCTCATCGTATGAGCCGGAAACGTGTATAGCTGCCCATTACATCCCCTCATCTTGTCGTTTCCCACGCACGTCGCACCAGGCGGAGCAAGGCATGTTGAACAATTATTGAGAGACCAAAAAAGCGAGTTAAGACATATACAATCCGACGCATTCGGTGGGCCGTGATCGAAGTATGCGCTAAAGCAGAGGTTCGACACCCACCAACACTCCGGGTGCATATTACAACTACTTTGGGTCATGTATTGAGAACAAGTCTTTGAGGAAGCCAGTTTAGGAATATCCTTGATGAAAGGTAAATCACTATCCATGTTCCGTTGGATACCTTTATTGTATATTAAAGTACGCACATTCAAAGCTGAATTTGGCACAATAGGGCACTTCCCATGTCTTGTGCAATCGGCGCTACACGTCTGGCACCGCTCACCGACAAAAGCGCCCACACAGATACACTTACCTGTTTCTGAATCACACATTCCACCGTTCAAGCAGTCGCATAGTTGGCAGTTCGAACCACGCCAATGCCCTACACATATGCACATCGATCTCATTGTTGGAGACTCCATCATGTCTACCCACGCCCCACGCATATTACACTGTTCCGAAACGTTGCACGTAGGGCCGATCCAGTTTGCCCCACACTCACACGTATCTTTAACTGGATCGTAGACTCTACGCAGGCCGCAATCATGCTTCGAATAATTGCACCCATACCCGCGATACCCTTTAGGACATCCTGTGCACTTACCTGTCTTCAAGTTGCATGCGCATGCCTTTGAATCCTTTTTAGCGTCACATTCCAAAGTACAAAGGGGGTTTGACTTGATGTGTAATAGCCATCCAGCGCATTCGTCGCACTTGGAACCCGCGAAACCTTCCTTACATACACAAACTCCTGTGTACACGTCGCATACCCCGTTCGGACCGCATGTTGTTGAATTACATTCCACGCTACAGTTATAGCCGAAGAAGTTTTTTTTATTCCATCGCCATTCGCAATAGGGGCCGCTCTGGGCCTTACTGGGAGTGCATGAGGATTCAGTGGGCAACTCGCACCCGCCACACTGAAGCACATGTGGGCCACGGGGTATGTTTGCGCAGTCAATACACTCATCGTCCCCACCACACACGTCGCACCCATCCACGTATACGTTCATTTGGGGCTCTTTGTATTTGGTCTTGCATAGATCAATATCTGTCTTGTTCGCGGTGCGGTAAATGTCTGTTGACAAGTAGTAGGGCCCACAGAACGTGCACTTTCCACGGTGACCAAATGTGTCATCCTGCTTCGCGAATGTTAGAAGGGGGCCCTTGGGATCGTTTACAAGCGTTGTAGGTAACCCAGCGACGTCAATGTGCAATCCAAATACAATCGCCGCTACGAATAGAAATAAAAACACCACTAACATGAACCAACGAATATTGTGCAAAAAAGGCACATAAATCCTAATGATAAAGTGCTCAGAAAATGTGAAAGGTCGCTGGTATCTCATATTGGTGTCTATTTGCCAGCGTCTTCGACCCTTTAATGGCATTTTCTGTGAATTTTCAGTATTCTGGTGATTTTTGTTGGACTTGCCACAGCACTTTATCAACGAACAAAACCATCGTGTAAACAAGTGCATCCGGTTCATATATTCTGTGGAATCATATTCTTCTAGGGATTCCCCCTTCATGTCGTTGCTGTCAACTCCTCCTGAATTGAGAATAATGTACCGTGTATCTTGTGCACGCACCACAGACCGCGCCACCATCGGCAGCAAATCGTTTACTTTACTCAGTACGTGAGTTTCCAGACCTAAGGCTTCGCCAACAGCACCCCAAGACCGCATAGATGCACGCACATCAGACGACGTATAGTGGCCACACTTCGGAAGCGGTGGAACACAGGGCTCCTCCACAGTTTCGTGTTGTGTCATTACGGTGGATATGCCCCTCCAGCACTTCTTTGAACGCTCTGTAAACTCACACGGCACGTGCACAACATCCGCATCCAACAACATCCGCCGGTTATAGTATTGAGATTTCGTCCCCACTTGAGAGTCCACGTTCCGTTCTATAGAAGCAAAGTCATCTATTGGGAACATGTTCTCAGGGACTATTTTGTTTGGAACTTCTTGTTTCCTTCTCATTATAGTCCGACACACTTTAGAATACACCATGTAAAACATTCCATACAAATCTTCTTTAATAGCTCTCATTTTGTCGAGAAAAGTTGGCCATGGCTTCTTGCTCTTGGCATGGAAGCATAAGTGGTCATAGTAGTTATGGTTATCTCTGTTGTTGTTACTAGTTTTGGTACCAATAGGAAACCAATTCTTATTTGGATTGCTAGTGGTTCGTTTGATCATCCTCTTAGGTTGTATAGCTTTAAGTAAGCCTGACATACACAATATTCGCTTGCATGATTTCGTCTTTTCGTTCAATAGATTTACACGTGTCTGAAGATCATGACCCCTGTGCGAGATATAGTAGTGATACAACGTAAAAAAGGCTGGGGTAATAAAAATGATGAAGTGCATATTCCATAAGAGGACAATTGTCATAAAAACACTAAAATGCCGCAGGGAGTCCGACACCGAATCGAAGTTTATTAAAAACAGAATAATCGCAATGATATTCGACACACATACGGATACCGTAACCCGGCGCATTGTAAAGGCAATGCGTTGCTCGAGACTCAGGTCGTTGCGTTGACTCTTAGTTGGCATAACGCCGCTATACACAAAAGTATCGTAGAAGCCCAGAGTTCCATGCAAGCAAAATGTCATCACCCACACAAATGCGGAAAATGATACAATTGTCAACTTATCGTAGAAGATTACATAGACTCCACAGGCGGCAGCCTGTGTGACGACCAGCTGAACAATGGAATACAGTCCAATTACTATAGACCCACTGTATAACCAACATAGCAGTATACAAAAAAATGAAACAAATAGAAGTCGAATGTATTCCCCAAAAATTTGCGCTTCAGCCTTCAGGGACTCCACAAGATCTCCGCCAATCAAAGTCCATATGAACTGATGGTCTGCATTCTTTTTAACATACCATAGCGCATCACGAATGAAATTCCTCATTTTTTGCTTGTAATCTTGTAATGTCTGATTTGGTGACGATGCTAAAGTGAACTCAGTCCGCACCTGATGCACTTTCTGATGTAATGTAGAAAAATTAGCGTCAAAAAAAAACCCGTAATTTGGGTTCATAAATACTCTTGACAAATAGTTGACCTGCATCTCATTTCCACGCCCATCCATGTGCCACTTTTCCTCGGTTTCGTTCCACCGTGGTAAAACGTACTGCAGAAGCCCGGTAGGAGGGACACAGTCTGGGAGGTCATCATTAACCTGTCCATACTCCAAGGCATTAGTAAAGCATACCTCACTGAATGATTCGAGCGCCGCGATATTTCGCTCCAATGATGTGATGTAATGCAAATTAGAAGGGTGCAATATGCTATCCATTTCATCGCAGGAGAACTTATTTACCTTGCAAAAGTTCTGTAGCCTTGATAGGTCTAGAACCGATAACATTCGCAATGTCCCACGGACTTTGCTACGGGGATTTTGGGTGTTAATCAGATTTTGCAAATGAGACGCCCCACTTAAACGTGAAACATGTGAGTCAAGTGTTTCCGCATATATATCTGCCGACGCGCGCACCTCGATGTCTGGACGAAGCTGAAATTCTTCGACCGTGTAGTCGACGGAAATTGAACCAACAAAAAGGGTTATCAAAAATATGGAGATCGGTATCAGGATCAACATAAACACGATCAGCGGTCTCTCCGTAATGATGTGCGCTAAGCAATCGGTAGAATAGCTCCGATTCACTACAACTCTGCTCAAATTCTCTTCGATTGCGTTATATTCTTCATTATGACTCCTCGGATTTTTTGGAAGCATCTAAAACATGACAGAGAAATTACACTGGCAACTGAACTCAACGTTAAATCGAGCCACTAGTGGAAACAGCACCTAAATGAATTTCTATCTTCTACTCCCCTAGTGGTAGCTTCAGCTATATTCTTTATTATGATATGTTTTTTTTTAAAGGCATGCACTTTCAGAGACGATAAAAATATATAAGGATAAATGAGACATATTACTAAAAATTTAACTTTCAAAATGTCTAGGTTATAAGAATGTCACAGTTGAATAATATTCAAAATAGTCACCTACGAAAATAAATTTTTATTTATTGTTAATGTAGTAGTAAAAAAAGAATTAAAATTAAATATTGCCTTCTGGAGGATATCAGACATATTTGACACACACAAAAAAAATTATAACAGAAAATATATAGCAATTGACACTTTTTGGGGGGGGTAAGTATACTTTCTCCGTTTTACCTGAGTCGTAAAAGAGCGTCATTGCATTTTTCACCGATAGAATAAGTGAAAGAACGATAAATATTTATATTTATGAGTGTATGCGTGTATGCGTGTGTGTGTGTGCGATTTCATGAATCAGCAAAAGAAAAATCAAGATATTAATATATTTTTGAGAAGAAAAAGGGTAACTATAAACTCATCATCGCATTCTTTTCTTCCCTTTCTACCTGTACAAAACTCTCATAATTATTTATTTTCGAAAATAAATTAAAACAAGGAACATTAGGGGACCTTCTATATATTAAAAAAGAGAGAAATCGACAAGTATCGTCATGTGTAATCGAAAAAATGAGTGTTAATAATATAAAGGCATAAATTAGACACTTCACGTAGTGCAATAGAATGTCCGCATTTGAGGTGGAGAATTCATTGTCTAAGCTTCGTTTATTTAATTATCTCATCTTGGCTCCTAGGTCGTTGTGTGGTCAAGTAGTATGCACGAAAAGTACACAAAGGGAAGAAAACAATCAAAGAAAAAAATTATTGTTAACTATAGATTTATGCGACAGAAGACACAAAAAACAAATCTTCACATACCTTTTTGTATTGATGCTGCGAATCAAATGTATAGTGTGGACCTTTTTACCCTAATCAATCTATATCAAAAAAAAAAGTAAAACACAGTATGTGTCAGGTGATATGTCACTCCATTTTAGGAAATGGATTAGGTAAACCGGGAAATGGGAATTGCTGGGCAAAATCCTTTACTTCCTTGCCTAGCGTTACAATTTTTTCGTCTTTGTCACATGCCGTCACAAATTCAGAGAGGGTTGTAGAGCCTCCTCCATTCTTTTGTTCGATTTCCTTAGCGATCTGGAGAGATCGAATAAGAAAAGATCCCACAATTTGGACATCCGCCTCCTTCATGCCCCGAGTTGTCACAGCGGGAACACCAATACGCATGCCGTGTGGAGTGCGCGCGTTCGTATCGCCAACAACTGTATTCTTATTTGCCGTTATGAACACGCGATCTAGGAGCTTCTCCAGCTTGCTTCCTGTGATTTTGTGTTGCCGAAGGTTCCACAGAAAAAGGTGGTTGTCCGTCCCCCCACTCACAAGTGCCTCCCCAGAGTCCAAAAGAAAATTTGAAAGTGCCTTAGAATTTGCTTTCACTTGTTTGATATAATCCTTCCACTCGGGAGAAGCAACCTCCTTGAGCTGTGTAGCCAGGGCAGCTATCTGGTTCATGTGTGGGCCACCTTGTGTCGCCGGAAAGACCGCATTGTTAATGCGGTCCTCGAGGTTCATTTCAGTCTTGCCCTTCATAACACGCTTGCGGAAGAAAATGAGACCAGAGCGAGGTCCACGGAGGGTCTTGTGTGTGGTTGACGTCACCACGTCCGCGTATTCAAACGGATTGTTTTGCTCCTCTGCTGCCACAAGCCCGGAGATGTGGGCCATGTCAACCATAAAGTAGGCCCCCACACTGTTGCAGATCTCACGATAACGTTTGTAATCCCAATCCCTGGGATAGGCGGATCCACCGGCAATGATAAGCTTTGGCTTATACAAAAGAGCCTGCTTAGCAAGACCTTCGTAGTCCACAAGTCCCTCCGGTGTTAAAGAATACGGAAGGCTTTCAAAGTAAATCGAACTGGCAGAAATGCGTTTCGTGGCAGTGTAGAAGCCATGAGTAAGGTGGCCTCCGGCAGGAAGGTCAAGACCCATCAGCCGATCGTGCGGATTGAGGAGACCGGTGTAGGTAGAAAAATTTGCCGGTGAGCCACTGTGGGGTTGAACGTTAACTCCCCACGTTTCAGGAGATAATCTGAAGGCGGCCAAAGCACGATTACGGCAAAGATCTTCCAACTGATCCACCACTTCAGTACCCCCGTAGTAACGACTGCCAGGTAGACCTTCGGCATACTTGTTAGTGAGGACTGATCCTAGACATTCTAAGACCGCATGTGAGGTGAAGTTCTCCGACGCTATCAGTTCCAGTCCTTGAAACTGCCGCTGCAGCTCTTCCTGAATAAGCCGGTAAACATGGGGATCGTGTTTTATAAGTGGTACGTTGCCTGGAAGCGAAGCTAATACCTTTGATGCGAGACAAACACGCGATAGGCACCTGAACATAATTACAACGTTTTATGATTCTTTCTTTGTATGTTGTTAAGAAAATAAATAAATCTATAAGGCGAGTACTCGTGATCAGAGTTGAAAGCAAAAAAAATCGAAAATGCCTGGCAGACACGGTGTTAGAAATAAAAGGGATGAAAAAAAGTAGTGAGTACCTATAAAGTTTAAAGTTCATTCGTGTAAGGAAAATATATTTAATAAATTTTTGAATTCATCAAGTTTCCACAAATATTACAGCAGCCAAACTCAACAACACAGACACACACAAAAAAAAAGAACACAAGAATGAGAGACAAAACAGGACTAAATTTCTCGCATAAATTAGAAAATACTCACTCAGATAAAAATGCTTTTATATTAAGCGTCTTGATGGGGAGATCCTTAGCCGAGGAAAGCGTTCCCTGGTTGTGCATCGACTTCACACGGTTCACCAACACCTTACGATCAGACCAGAAGGTATCCTGCAATCTCTTGAACGGCATGTAGCGGGACTCCTCCTCGGCCTCCTTCATCCGCTTCGACATACCTACCAACGAGCGGTTCACATTTATCCAGCGGCTGCGATAATCACGCACCATCTTGCTCTCTTCAAAGTCAACGTAAACAAACGGCTCGTCGTAGTTTGTCCGAGGGGGCTGTCGCTCGCCGTGTTGCCATTCAATACCCGCTAGAAAGCATTGATACTTGACTGAATGCAATGTCCAGTAATTGGTGTACCAGCGGCCCACAATTCCCTCAGATTGAGCACGAATACGCTGTGGTGGGCGAGGTACATCTGCCACCTCAAAGCCCTCTGGGATCATCTCCAATGCAGCCTTGAGGGCCTCGCGCGAATAGCGCTGCCTCATTACAGGGCGGCCGCTTTTGGTGAAGTCTCCCCAACGACTGAGCTCAAGCCAACCTTTTTCGCGGTAGGCCCCACGATACATACTGCGCTTTCCATTCCACCACATCATATTCTTGATATTAAGCATCATAGGCGTGTATTTGACAGGGGTGGTTTCTGGAGCAATGCCAATGCCCGGAGAGGCGGCGCGACATGCGTGAGTGCATCTCATGGTTCTCTATAAAAGGTATAGCTAGTTCAATTCTGATGTGTGCGTGAGATAATGATAAAATCTATACAACACTCAGACTAAGCATAAAGGGGTCTCCGCAAGAGAGATAAAAAAACGTATGTCATACTTTTCGCGTAAAGATATGTTCATAATTCCCAAAAAAAAAGAAGAGCAGCAAATAATAAAAGTGAAGCATTATCGTAACTACAAGCATTGAGTTCATGACAGATGCTAAACAAGTTAATAATGAAGAAGTCAAATAAAACGCAAACAAAATCGAGAAGCATTGCTTTTGTTATGAATTCTTTTTTTTTTCACTTTTAGTGTATTGTAATGTAAGGTGAATAATTGAATATGCCTCCGTTTTTTTTTTTTATTAAGAACCTTTTGAGTGCTATTTATTAAAGGAATATTCAAGTAGTTTTATAAAGTTTTCTGCTAACCTCCCATCATACCTACACACATAATAAAAACAAAGTGTTTCCTGCTTTCGATGTTCAATAAAGCTAAGAATTTTCGTTATTCCCTTAGTCGATTGCGATTGCAACCTCATATCTGTGAATTAAGATTTGGCAGCTATCTGCTTTCTAGATTCACTAATAGCAACCTCCTTTATCTTTTGTCTCGCATCATTGTTAGTTGTCATCCACATAGATCTGAACTGGTTCTTAGCATCCTTCGAGGTGGCGTTGTAGTCCGTGTAATCGATAAGCTCATCCCCACGCCATTTCCAATCCGCATCCCCCATGGAGCTGTTTGTCGCAGGGTCTGGATTCCATCGAAACTTATTAGGGTACAGCTGGTGTCGGTGGTATTTGCAGTCCATGACGGACGGCTTGCGCATCTCGTCCAAAAGGATATACCGCACGCCCCACTCTTCCACACGGTTTATTGCCTCTTGCTTGAGAATACAGGTCGCATTTCGGGACAGGCATTGGTCCTGCATAATATTAGTGTTGCCAATAGCGTTGTCCCATCTCATACGGGTGAAGCCACCGAGCTGGTCAAACTGACCTCCCCCAGTTTGAACAGATCGAATGCTGTATCGATTTGGGTTATCACCGGGATGGCAGTACTGCGTTCGATGGTGATGTTTCTCAACTATATATCTGGCGCCCTTAGGACCACCTGTTCTTCCGTACAAAAATATACGGTCATTGAACTGGGAAAGGGAGCTACCGAGATAGCGAAGTTTCTTCTTACGCTCCTTTATATGTACTAACGTAGCCTCTAGTTTAGCCGGTGTAATACGGTGGAGGACACGTGGAAGATTTGGCTGCGAAAAGCAAAAGAGGCATTTTGAGGTTAATTGAAACATTTGTCCCCTAAATATGTTAATGAGGTATATATTATATTTTGTTTTTTTTACTATTTTGCTTGAGGAAAAAATGTATTCTGCTAAAAAATATTCGAGTCAAATAATAGATGCTATAAAGCTTTCCTATATACCTTCTATTCGTATGTAGAAATCTCTAAAAAGTGCTCTAGAAATATTATCTATTTTTCAAAAAGGATTAAGGGATGCGAGGAATATTGGTCTTATTTTACTAACGTTATCCATAAAACTCTACTACTTTTACATTTAAGCAGCAAAATGAACATTAAAAAATGTATATAAACCACGCAACGCAGTTCTCTCATTTACTTCTAGCGTCGATAGTTGCTGTTTGTAAATCGGAAAAATAGTTTATACCTTCCCGAAGAGTCAAACGAGATCCTAACACCTCCATGCCTAGTATCCCATTGTTTTCGCACAATGCGGTACGCCACATCGGCGTACGGCGGACCGACGCTAAAGACAAGCAAGCAATAATCGTCATCTGGCCCCTTAGGAGTGTTTTCGATGTGGAATATTCTCCGCATGTCGCGCTTTGTGTTGATTAACGCAGGATAGAAAAGGGTGAATTCATACCAAAGGACCGTGCGTGGTGGTGGGTTCGTACGTGCGTCGTAATGCGTGCGATTGTACTGTGTCCAGGTAAATCCCGTCTTAACTTTGCAGAAGCGATGAGGTTTGACCAGGCTTGAAGGTGAAGATGGTGGTTTTTGTGGCTGCTGGCGTCGTCTGCCGCTCTGCAATGCCGTATGGTTCGCGGAAGTAGGTGACAAGGCAGCCGTTTGCTGGGGCCATGGGTGGCGCAAGTAGTAATCCACCACCTCATCCTTGTATATCATCTCATCCTCATCCATAGGCCCCTCCTGGTGTTTCTCCAGAAGGTTACGGAAGTAATTGTCGTCGGGGATGTAATCAAGAGGAACACCCAGAGACTGGTCATCCTGGGGCCGCTCGGATGGCGTCTGCCTTTGGAATCGCTGCTGTTGGTCGTAAAGGCCGCGTTGAGCCATCGTCAGCGGTGGTGGTTGAACCACCATGGTGCGGCCAAAGAGGTGGAGACGATCCCGTGCGACCATAAAACTCAGACGGGCGTGCACCATCGTGTAGAAGGAAGGATGAACCCCCTTGAGGCGTTGGGATGTCTGGGCTGACGGCACCGCCCCGGTCGAAGATGGGGTGATCCCGCTTGACAAGGAAAGGGGGCAGTGTGCTAAAGCCAAAGTGTCCGCCAAGACGGTCGTCGCTACGTTTTGCGTGTGGACCTCAACCCGATCCTCCCGCTCGGTGGCAACCTTGGAAACGGTATTCGCGCCACCTCGCAAGGATTCCACTTTTGTAAGTTGGTCCGGTGGCTCGTAAACAAAGTCGGCCCTGTTCGGAATGATTCCATCGGCCCCCTCATCCTCATCAGGCCTTTTCACTCCATTTACCATTGAAGAAGATTCCGTCTCTGTGCTGAGGGCATTATTTTCGTTATCGGCAGACGGGAATCGACGCGCAGTGGATGTCGTAATGAGGGCTGGTGAAGATGCTGAATCAACCCGAGACAACGGCAGGGTCAGACGGCGAAGAAGCTGCATGAGCTCGCTCTCATACCGTGGATGCAGCGCGAAGGCATGAGCCTTGGCACTGCTCAATGAGGCAGCATGGAAGAAGCTTTGAATTCGAACCCAAAACTCCAACGAGTGATGTAGCGAAGATGCAAGGCCAAAAGTAGATAATAACGCCGGTGCGTTCTCGGTGTTGCTTGTTACGTGGCCTTCGATGATAAAAAACCCCGTATTGCCCGCCTCCTCCTCGTTGTTTAGCTCCTCCTCCCATTCACCCTTAAACATCCTGACATGGCCACCAGTAATGACTTCCTCAATCTCCTCATCGTTGGCGTGCTCATCGATCCACTCCCCCACGAGGGCTCTTACTTCAACGTATTCTTCAATTTCCTTAAGCGCCAATTGGATGGCCTCAGCGGGGTATTCCGCAATTAGACCCTCGCACAATATAGGCAGAGGAACGCCTGTAAAAAAGCGCGACATAAGGATGCGCTCAGGTGATGCAGTCAAGACCTCCTGAGCGAGGCGCGTATAGTGATTTGGCGGAACGGTCGATAAGTCTAAGTAATACATAGTGTATTGGATAACTAGAATATCAATCGGTTTCGTCGCCCTCTGGGCTGTAGACAAAACGGTTGATCGAAGCGACTTTGATCCTGCCCACTCACCTGCTGAACGATTACTGATATACGGACCCTGGCCATTCGTATTACTGTTCAAACTACTGACGGTGTTGTTCGTTCGATGTAGTTTAAATCTCTCCACAGCTCGTGATGCGCTCTGCCGTAGCAAGGACGCAAAAGTCTCAAAGATTTCGACATCCGCAATTCGAGTACGCTTCGACATACGAATGGTATATACTAAAAACTCTTATTATTAATATTATCGCCTCTATACTAAAAAACAATTGACTTTTGTGACGATGAAACCTTTAATCGTATCCCAAGGTTCCATAAATTGATACAATTTACAGTAAATCAATCAATGTCTAAGCAAAAAAAGGAAGGTTTCAGTCAAAGCGTGAAAAATAGTAAAATTGGAAAACTCAAAATGCATTATTAACAAGCAAAAAAAAGTAAGAGTAAAGAAATCTGGTAACAAAAAGGAAGAAATGATAAAAAATATAATTAAATTCTTCTAATGGTACTGTAAAAAAAAAAGCATAAAAAATAAATAAATAAATAATGATATACCTCTTTTTTAATTCAGGCGTTTGACTCAATCCTCCCAAGGTAATTTGTCATCATAAAAACAAAATGCATCATTCGCTTGATCCGAGGTATGAGGGGTTTCAAGCTCTTGCTTCGACAGCGGTTCACTTGCCCGTGGAGGCGCCGGTGTCGAGTTCAGAATCGGGGCTTGTTTGGTGTTGTTTGTAATCACACAACTGATGTCATCCGTGGAGGCAGAGAGGGTGGAGTCAGTAGAATTTGGGCGACTATCTGACATCGGCATCATTACAACCTTCTCCAGGTTATGCTGCTCATTGGTGGAGGAAACTGGCATGAAAAGAGCGATGGAAGAGGGCCCTGGGCTCCAATTTTTCCGGCCACTGTCAGGCAAATCGCTCACGCCATCCAGCTCTCCCCTCACCTGTTGTGGTAATTGATGGAGAGTGGATGGTTCAGTTTCACGCTCGATTACGACTTTTTTGAAACTACGCCCTGAGGTAGTACGCAACGGAGGGGCCAGCGGTGGTTTTTCGAGAGGTATTGATGTACTATTAAGAAAAGAGCTGGACACATCCGCCGAGAGAATAGAACATGAACGCTTTCCTCGAGACATTTTAGAAATGGAGGATGGACGCTCTAGTAGGGATATGGACGACACACTGGAAAACTCCGAAAAAGAGTTCGGTCGATGTTGCATGTCTACGGCTGCTGTCGGTAGTAAATTATTTTGATTCTCTTCTAAAGGATCATTTTTTTTTGGAAAGTCTTCCACCCGGGTAGAGCGGCCGCTGGTAGAATCATTGCTTTTCGCAGGAACTTTATGGAATTTAGCTCTACTCCCTGCGGATCTACTGACATATTCCCGAGGTCTTGGTATAGAACTTGGTGTCCGCAAAGATGTAGCGGTGGTGGGTGCACCACTAGGATATAAATTATCGTGAGACCAAGGTCGTTGCTTTGGAACCGATGGGGATGGATTTTTAGTCGCACTGTTTCTACTATTGTATCTAGTGCTATTGGAAGAAGAAGCACGTGGGTTTTCGAGAAAAGCGGCTCGGCCTTTTAATTTGACCTCACTGCGCCCGCTGCTAGGTTGGGGTGGGCGGTTCTGTTGGACCCACGTCTGTCGTTTTTTCTCTCTCGACTGTGATGAGCTCCGTTTTTGGTGTTGCTGCCACTGCGCACGCAACCGCGCAAGTAAAGCCGAAGTACTATCCTTTTCATCATTCGAGAGCTCGTCTTCGAGCTCCCTAGGGACTACTCCATTGTATAGCTTAACCATCCGTGTTGTCTCAGCTTCCTGGGCGATCGACACCAGCACCCGCTGGGCATCCGCCTCGGGAAGGCGTGAGAGAAATGCAGCGGTCGCATGGCAAAGCTCCCGTTCATCTTTTGGCATATACCCAAGGAAATCGAATGCCTCCTTGTCGTTGTCATCGTTCCCATCCTCAGCGTTATCGGGGGGACTCGCCCTCAAAATGGCCAGCGTGTTGAGCTCAATATCGCGGCAGACGGCTGCGAGAGACGGCTTGGGAGCCCCATCGGCGCCCTTGTAGGCGATCATTTCCTCATAGCGTCGAGGCCGCCGCTGAATGCCGCCTCCTCCTCTCCCTTCCTTAGAAGTGGGAATGCAACCCGACGGGTGGCTGATGTCGACGTTATCGCCCACAGAATCACCCTCGGAGTAGGATTCGCCGGGATGAGAAAGTTGCCGTTCGCCGTTTTGGGCAGACAGGTCTTTTGGGTTTCGGATGTAATATTCGCAGGCAATGGACTTGGGGGCATTGCGTGGGCATGGGGACTTCACCCGCCGTGTTGGTTTTCGCCCTTTCAAAACCGCGACGCTGTGCGCGTAGACATCCCAGGGGTGCAGTCTTTGGACCCTATTGTTTGTTAATACCCTAGGAGGGCGCTGGCTATTAATTGGCATTCAGAGATGAAATATATAACTATATATATAACCAATCTATTTTTTTCTTCTCAATGTCTCATATGAAGATGTTGGCGTCTTTTTCGCAGAAAGTTCCAAAGCCCGTCTGCCAGCTCAATAAAGAGCTCTTGTAAAATAACGAAATTATTTGCTGAAGAAATAAGGCGAAATCCAGATTCTAAAAAAAATAATGGTTTATATTCAAGAAAAAAATATTCTAGTAGAAAAGCAAAATCAAAGATGATTTAGATACAAAACACTTATATTGATCTCCTATATATATATATACATAAGTGTATACCACGTTTAGTATATATTTTTATTGAATATTAGATCTCCTTGATAAGTAGATCAAAGTGCACTTCCTTAGGTACTCCTATGACAATCTAAATCTTAATTTATACTTGAAGGGACCTATATGCTGGAATAAAGACTATAGTAAGGTGTTACGTCGAAAGAAATGCTAAATATGAATTAATAAATAAAAGGACAATGAAAATAAGCATTTTTTTTTTTGAGCTTGTCTAACAATAAATAGATTTCAGGTGTTATCATAGCAGCATCAGCAATTTGGACACATACTATGCGGTCGAATGTCTGGATGTAGAGGTGACTGCGTCGACAATAGAAAAAATTGACACTAATTTTTACTGAGTTTACGCTTAGCCATACTTATTAGAAAGGATTTAATGTATATATATATATATATATGTTAGATCAAAACTTCTGAGTTTATTTATTCAATAATTTGCTCCCCTTTTCTCCCTTTACAAATACATTTATACGTCACAACGAATAAAGGCAACAAAACTGCAGAAATCTTAGCTCTTGAGCTTCTTCTGAGATGTCCGCGCCTACAACTAATTCCTCATTTACTTGCGAGATATCGACTCTAGTTTATCGTACACCAATGCGTCTGCCGCACGTGTCTGCGGTTCGACATTAAGCTGTTCATTAACAGAGTCGACTTTAGCACGCTGCTTTGAGTCACTGATCAGATTAACAAGCCACACCTCAGCATCTGCCTTTGACATGCCGAGTTTATCCGCAACATATGGAATCGACACTACCATGTGCAAAGACATGTATCGCTGAAAGATCAGACGCTTAGCCTTACTCATCAGACAATCCTCCAGATCGCAGAGGAAAAAGTCCTCCTGCACAACCTTCTCAACCTCTGGCAACAACTCGAGGGCACCTTCGAAGTCAAACTTTTGAATCAACCCTATCAACTTGGTGAGCGCGTCGGAGTACTCGTAGATATTCTCGGTCATGGCGGCAGCTGCTTTGAAGTTGGAATGGCGCGTGTAGTTCAGCAGGACGGCCGCGCACACGTAACGCAGGTAATGCGGACAGAGCGTTTCAATCACACTCTGGTAGATATTATCAGAACGGTGGTCGAAAATGTAGGAGAGCAGCTGCACGGGGTACTGACTGCCCCCCTTGAAAAACGGAAAGAGCACCCAATGCAGAAGCCACGCACGTGCTTGGATGGTGGTCGCGTTAGCCTGACGAAAGATCTCTTCCTCGTCGCTGTTCTGGTTCTTACGAATCGTGGCCGCCATTTCAATGGCGGATTGCCAATTACAGGCCCCGGTGTCGCACATTAGCTTTCCCCAGATTATGATCTCGGAGGGCAAATCGTAGCCGCTGACGCACTGACAGAGCGCCAACAGCTCCGACGCGTCGCCATAACTGGCCTTGTCGTAGTATAAAAAGGCAAGCTCCATGACAGCTTGCATAACTGCCCGGGTAATGCCCTTCTTGGTGCGGAGATAATCATATGAGAGCTCACTCTGGGTCCGTAGTTGCTCTACCTCGCTGGCCGTAAGTTTGAACTGATAGGTGTAGTCCTCGTTGTCGGAACCTTCGAAGAATTCGTCAAGTGCAGGCTTCGCACGTAGGGTTGTGGCCTGGATCCGCTCCTCCTGCTCAGGCTTCACGGTGTACTGGGGGGTAAGGGCGGTTGATGCTAGCACTTTAGCCTTGGCATCCTCAACGGCAAGGCCTTTCTCTTCATAAAAGCTAAGGAGACCTAGAGCAAGATGCTTGTCCAGGTAGGGCAGCATGCAACTGAGCATATGTTCCATTGCGAAAAATTTAAAGTGGTGAGTGTGGTTTAGTCTAACGTGTACTTTTACTAAGTGATCAAAAGCTCGGTCTTAGAAAGTGTGGTTGAGTTTCCCGTGATATCAGTATAATACTTCCCCTAAAGTGTTCCTAGAATTCAGGATAAATAATATGCTAAAATATGTAAAGATAAAAATAACAACAATTTTGGAGGGGATCACATTTGTACTGAAATAGAAATTAGAAATGGAGACATATATCTTTAATATACACGATGTGCATGTATTATTCGGCATTTTGAAAGCAAACAAATGGGAAATTTAAACCTAATTGTACATTACACCTCTGTAGTCTTGTATATCATAGAAAGACAAAATAAAAAAATGGCAAGTGTAAAATAACGTATACAGTCTATAAATCTATTTATTTATAAAAATGTGGAGAAAACATAAATTGCTAGTTAGAAATTGTCTCTATGCCAAACCTTGATAGCATATTTGCAATACAACGCTAGCATAGTGAAAACGATAATAAAGGGGTGATCAGATGCGACGCTACGGTGCCCGAACTAGGTGAACAATATTAGAGTACATCTGCTCGCACAAATTGTTCTCACGTTCTACCTGCTTCAAGACGTGGTGGATGCGCAACTTCTCTTGGTGTTTCTGCTGCTGCAAACGCAGCGTTCGCAACTGGTCCGCCTTTCGATCGATCACCAGCATCAACTGCCGCATCTGCTGGCTAGTAGCAACCGAGTCACAGTACGGGTCATGAAGCTGTTTATAATACGCGGTGTATGCCTCCTCTAACTCTGTAATTTCATCTTTCAGCGTTTGACATGCGGCATTTAATGCGAGACCATCGGTAATAGGTACTGCTGGGAATCCAGAAGGGGTTAACGATTCGGAACATTTGGTTTGGCTTTTAATGCGAGAAGATGTTCTAGGAACATAAGACCCCCGCTTGGACTTTTGTTGGGGTACTGGAAATGCCACTTTTTTGGCGCCGTTAGAATTTGATGATGATGAGCTGCTGGTAAGTGATGTGGTTGATTTGCTCCCGGCAGAGGAATCCCCCGCGGCGTTCACCCTGGTAGTCGCCGCATTGGCTTCACCGCCATGCGCCTGCCTGGGCGACTCCACACATGGGTTAATTACCGTCATTGGGGCGGCATAGACGAGAGGTAGTGGCCTACCTCCAGTAATCTTCATTGAAGAGGACTGATAGCCCATATCACGACCCTGCTGCTGAAGATAGGCCCTCGGGCGTAAATAGTTGCGTCGTTCGAGCGTGGAAACCATCGACGCTATGTTGTGGGATTCTGGTATGTTGGCTAAACGGTCTCGCCGACGATGTCCAGGTCGTAGCGGGGAAAAGTCAAAACAGACGTCGCAACTCTTACGACGGCCTTGACGTGAGAGCTGTACAGTTTTTTCGCGTGAAATAGTGGGGCTACTTGGGATAAAGTGCCTTTTCGGTGACACCAGTCTCCGGGGAGATGCTAAAGTAGGGTATTTAAGGGGAGTGAACGTCTCCGAGTGGTTTTTAGGACACACACTACAGGAGCGCTCCGTGCCAGTCAGTTTGTGCGAGGCATCTAACAATGCCTGCTTAGCCTCTTGCAGCTCTGTGTGTAAGCATGCCTGTTTATGAAGATCATTTCGCATGACACCTTTCAGTTTTTTTATTTTACTTTCAAGATGCATGAGATTACGCTCCAGCTTGAGCCGTTGACGCCAAAGTGCCTCCTGTTTCTCTTGCAGAGAATTTATCCGTGTCAAATCTTCACTGCGGGTGGCCAATAGTTCCTCACAGAAAAGTTGTTGCGCTTTCCGCCGCTCCTCCTCGACTTGTTCAAGGGCCTCGCGGTTGGACTGAATGGTTTCGTGTAACTGAAGGCGGAGATCGTCTTCTTTTGTAGCGAAAATAGCTCTTTCTTTTTGCTGAAGTAGCGTCAAATCACTGCGATGGCTCTCTAAGGCAGTCTGTGCGCGTGCTTTTAATGAGTTATAGTATTTAATTTCATCCTGTAACGAACTCAAACGAGCATCAAGCTCACTAATAGGGTCAACGGGAGAGTTACTGGGGGTGTTAGCTGATTCAGAGGATGACATGAACACCAAATTTCCTCGTATAGACGGTAGTTTATGTTGCTTTGATGAAATATTCACCGATTAAAGTAAAAAGAGAAAGAAAATCTATGGTTGTATGGACACCAAATGGCTTTGAACGTGTCACGAAAGGTGTATTCTAGGGTCTATAATAAAGTTCTATAGGTAAATATAATCTTTATGATGAGTATTTGATATCTTCTTCAATATACTGTTATTTAATATGAATACGAAAAAGGCAAGCAAGAAACTAAACAATATATAATACCCACATACACAAAAAAAAACTAACATTTCAAGAATTGAATGTGCAATCCAAAACATATCACACTTGTGGCATATTAAGTTCAAACTTATCTTGAGAAGATTTCTCACTGCTTACCCTAGTTTGTCATTAATGTTAATTAGGTGTGGATATAAATTTACTTGTTAAAGTTTCATGTAAGCGTTTTTCCTAGATAATGATACACACATAACCGGATAACGTCAACAACTAACAGCAATTATATAACGTTTTTGAAATAACATTACCCAACGTTTTCCACAACATAAACCTTTTATTCCATTATGAACCAATGTGTACGAATGGCTGCGCAGGTGAACACACCCCCTGTCCTTTATCTCACCATTCGGCGATGAATGGGTAAAATTTTAGCAGTTACAGTTACTTAATCGCTTTCATCTTCGTCTTCACTAGTATCCGATATCAAGACAAGTCTGGGGTGATTGCCATTGTCAGGCCGGCTTAAACCCTTGTGAGTGGGATTCTCAGAATGCACCGCTGGCCTGTTAGAAGCGCTTGGGGGGATCTGCAAGAAGTTCTTGACCCCAAGAATAAAATTGTGACATGTCGCGGCAATAAGCACCTTTCCTTCCTCGCGGCTGTCCCGTGAAAAGTCGTCCGAGAAGTCATCGGATGAGTTATCGGATGAGTCATCCGAAACTAAAAGCAAATGGGATTGCTTATTAACAGTTGAGGAAGTGGTCATTTTAGACTCAAAACCAGCGTATCGCTGTAAGTTCTGTCGTCTTCGTACCATGGCGCTATCAAAGGCGATAAGACCTTGGCCACTTACAATGCAGTACCCACGCTGATAGTAGAGCTCATCGTCGCAACCGTTGTACAAAATCTCGATGAGCTGCGGTGCGTAGTCGTGGAGAACACAATTCAGATCCCGAATCGCCTCAGATAAACCCTCCAGTGTTGCCACCATAGCGTCCATGTTCATTTGGCCATTCTTTGAAAGAAACGTATTGTAGAATGGTCGGCACCATTGAGCAAAAAGGCTACGGACCCCTTCGAGAGTAGCCGTTACACCACGGTCGGAATGAATGTGTAAAACATGCTCCATCAGAAGCTCCGTCACGATCTCGCATAGCTCTGGATAGCTGTGACCCTCCGAAAGGCAGATAGTAGACATGTCGTAGGCAGCGGCCTCAATGTGCGACGGCTTGTATAGAGCTACATTAACATTCTTTCTGACGCTGCCCCTAAACAGCTCAAATTCGTCATCTTCTACATCTATTGACAGCTCCTCGACGTCTGAAGACACTTTAGGTACAGCATCTTCTGTAAAGAGGATGGAGGTGTCGACAATAAGGTCTTTGTAGCGATCGACAATAGTTAAGCCTATTCCATCCGAACCCTTCAGCGAATGATTGGCCTTGCCATCAAACCTTTGCTTATTATCTCCATTGTCTTTAGTAGAGCCGGTATTAAGAATTTCACAGGACGTCCTCAGAGTGGGTGTTGCTACATTCCTCCGTTCTTGACGCTGAGTACTAGACGATGCTAACTTAGTGCTCATAACCACCTGGTTTTGTAAAGATAAACTTGCATTAGCACCGTTAGGAATGGTGTTGGCATTAGTTACAGAGGTCTCATTGCCGTCGGCCGACTCATCTAAAACACAGTAGTGGCCTATAATGCAGCCCACGAGCTCAATCCCGTCCCCAATAACCGCATTATAGCCGATCACCGAGCCCTTAAGATTGCAGCATTTACCAATTTGCGCGCCATCGAAAACGACACAAGCGGTGAGTGAGGAGCCCTCGCCGAATATCACATGATCACCGATTACCGTACCGATAAGCTGTACCGACGCCGGGACTACGACATCCTCCCCAACGACCACATTAGGTCCGTTAATCGCCCCCAGGGCCTTGGCACTGTTGTGCATATAGACCGTCTCGGAGGAGGAGGACACCGCATACTTCGCCTGCACTTCTGCAAACAACGTATCCCGTGTGAGCGGGAAGAGACGACGCGCACACACATCAAGATTGGCCTCGATGTACGTGTTAAGGCTATTCACGGGCTCGATAATAGCATGACGGGTTGGTACCTCGAGCACGCCAAAGACGTTCCCGAAAATTTCCGCCTGTCCCAGCAAAGACGTACTTAAGAAGTTGTGGATATCACGAATGTGGAAATCGATCAGCGCGAGGGCCTCGCAACAACAGAAAAGGAGACCTGTCGGTATTAAGTCCATCCGAACGGAGAGCTGAGTTTTTCGAGAAAATGTGATCAGTGGTGGTTCAGGTGCATCTTCGCTATTTGCCTCTAGTCTAGACATATACTGAACAACACCGGTGTTGTTGTCAAGAACAAACATCGTATGGTGTCCTTTGGGGTGCGAAGGCATCCTACGGCACCTCAGCCGACCACAACCCATTATGTGGTCGATTTCAATGTCGACAGAGCCTCGCATAGAAGTGGGCGAAGCATTCTCTTCCTTCGATTGGATTTCCTGTTTTTCGAGCCCCTGAACTAAAACTTTATAGAGCGTAGAGTTAAGGTTCTGTTTAGCTGATGTACACAGGAGCGTGGCGGCGTACTTACCGATAGTCCTGGCACGCTCCAGATGTTTTTGAAAGTAATCTTGTAGATTATTATGAAAAATGCTTATGCAGTCAATTGGTGCAATTAAGAACGATCCAGATTGTGGGACAACATTTCGCTGGCGAATCTCGTTAATGGCGTCTGACAACTTATGCATATCACGCATACACTCCAGCACGTTCACTTTCATTACATCGCTGGATGTCCAGGGCTTACCACGAAAGGTTCGTGCACCAGAAAGGTGAGCCTGCACCTTGCTCACTGAATTTGGATTAAGCAAAATGGTTACCTCACTCACCCCATTTTCAACAAAGTTCTCCAAAATGTAATCAATAAGTGGGGTATTGCAAATCGGCAGCAATGCATACGGGAGAAACTGACTGGGAGAGATAGGGCTCAAAGGATAGCCCAACGGGTTTAGGGGGTTTGCCACAAGCGGCTCACCAATGATGACAACGCGGATTTTGGAGTGGGCTTGAAGTTCACGAGAAAGAGATCGATTGTATCCACAGGCTATTGATCCAATATTCATTTTCTAAGTGTCCTTTTCTTTACAACCAGAAAAAATAGAGTAAAATCTTTATATACAAACGTAGATAAACTTATATTAGTGGGAAAAAAAGTTTTCAATACTATAGAAAAAAAAGGCTTTCTTATGGAATGTGGTTAGTGTGACCTCCTTTTTATTACTTCAACCAATGCACTCTAAAAAGTTTGTAGTCAAATAATAGTGTCAATAAATAACAGAAAAAAAGGTTGAGTAAAGGGTAAAAAATGAGAATGTAGAAAATGCAGCTTACAGAAGGAAAAAGAAAGATGCACATTTTTCTATATGCTTTGGAACAACTAATTATAAAATTCAGATTAAGCAGCGAACGTTTAGGTAGACACGTATCCTTCTATCGCTTTCTATGAACTGCAATACTCTAGAGGTAGATATAGATGTGACCAAAGTTACGAAAACGTACGAAAATAAAAGTATTAATGAGCACCACTACAAGTTCTTTAGTGAAAGATAAAGCACTAATGAGCCCAACCTGTGAGCATTTATAACCTCCCCTACCCCCCTCCCCCTCCCCCTCCTAAGTAAAAAAAAACAGCTTCTGCAGCGACTATTGATAAGCCAATTATACGACATTACTATTGAGAAACGAAGCTAATCCACATCTTAAGCATGAACGCTCCCCTTTATGCCTTCGTATGTTCTCTAATCGCTAAAGTCCTCGTCGCTGTCATCGCTGAAGGAAGAAGACGCGTCGCTCGAGCTGCTGCCCTCCTCCTCTTCCTCCTCCGATGATGACGATGATATGTCGATGTGTTTTTTATGATTGCTTGCGCGTTGAGGTTTCTTTGAAGCCGGGGAAGGTGGCTTCGCCCGGCGGGCGCCCGGGGAGGCCCCACGTCGAGGCCTTGGGGATTGCACCCCTGGCCTCGGATGAGAGGGCTGCAAGCCCAAGATGGTCAGGTCCTCCTCATCGTCCTCCACTGCGCGATGACCGTTAGAAAAAGTAGGGGCGGGAGGCGATGGGTTCGCTGAAAGCGCATCCAAACCGAACCCGTCGAGGCTCAAATCATCCACCACCGTGACCACCCCAGGGGCCTTCGCGGAGGGCTTTCCGGCGGACTCCCCCGCGCGCGTGCGGGGCTTTCGCGGGGCCGGCGTGGGATGGCTGCCCGTTCGGCTCTCGACTTTCGGTTTTTGGTGGGTTTTGCTTGCCTTTGCCCGTGCGGCGGCCAAGCTCTTTTCGTTATCGCCCACCCCTACAATGTGGCCCCCGTCATCACTGAGGTCGACGTCGTCGGAGTCCGTATCCGACGTGAAGTGGAAGGAGTCCTCTTCATCATCGCTGTCTTTCTTCTTTCTCGCCCGCTTGGTTCGGGGGGGTTTCGTTTGCACGAGCGATCCAACCCTGGTCCTGACCGACTCATCCGAATCGGCCACGCCTTCGACCTTGGGTACGCGCCGAGGGCCCAAAAGCTTGCTAAATTCCTTCTGTAAAACTTGGCGGGCCTTATCGGACAAAATCGGCACCCGCAGCCGTCGGGTGTCGAACGGCTTCTTTTTTCTAATTTCTTGCGCCGAATAGAGGCAATTTCACGCTCGCGTTCGGTAAAATACGCGATCAGTTTAGGCCGGAGCGCGTCCAGATCCTCCAGCCAAAGATCGCGCGGTGTTCGCTGCGCCATGGCCTCGGTTTCTTCTTTGGCATGACGAAGCTGTGCCTCGAGGCGCTCGATCATCTCGAGCGTGAGATTCCACAACTTCATGCCGAGCAGGTAATCATAATCGCGGGAGGCGCGCGCCACCTCGGGCGAATCCGCCTCGGCGGAATCGGAGGTGCCGGAAAAGCCGCCCTCCGCTGTCCCCTCGCCGCGTCCATGGGCCAAAAACTGTAAATCCTCATCCACGTCCTGTTGAGGGCCGTCGGCGGTGTCGTCCTGTTCAATCGTGGTGGCCGTGAGCTTTTTCTTTTGAAAGGGCGGGAAGGGTTTGTACTGCCGCGACCGCAGCTCCTCGAGAAGTTCCTTCTTTTTCCGCCTCGTGACCACCAGCTGCCCACTCACCACCTCACGGACAAAGCGGACCATGTTTTCGAGTTTGCTCGTCATGCGGCGAAGCCCGCCGAGGATGTAGTCCTTTCGTTTGACGTAGTAGTCAATACGAATGGGGTAAAATTCCATCAGGAGCGACTCCGCATCGGGGTATTTCTTGAGCCGGCCTTCGTAATTAAAGGCAATAAGATTCGTTGCGTGGATGTACTCACGAAGCTGGAGACGCTCCTCGACGACGTCCTGCTCGCACCACATCCGAAAGACCTCAGGGTGGACCAAAACCTCAAAATCGACCGAGACGTCTGTGTTGTGCTCGCGATACTGCACGACAATCTCCTTCTCGCGAAGATCCTCAAGAAACTTTTTGTAGACCTGCGTCCAAGTTCCTATTGGAAGCTCGGTAATACAGACAATCCCATCGGAGCGAATTTCGTATTTGCCATGAGAGGTAAACTTACCCTCGCCCTTCTCTCGAATCACGCCGGTAAAGCCAAAATACCATGGCTGCATTGGTACCACGCTTTCCCCTGAAAGCAGGCGCTTGATATTATCAATAATGTTAATCGGATTATAGCTTGGGATGTTGGTGCTAAAGCCGGTGCCGATCCCTGAGGTGCTGTTCACCAGCACCATTGGGATCACTGGGATGTAGTGAAAAGGCTCAACCGAAAGCCCGTCGTCATCGCGGTACTGCACGATGTAGTCGTCGGCGGGGTGAAAAATCAGCCGCGCGAGGTGGGAAAGGCGGGTAAAAATATATCGCCCCGCGGCGTGATCCTTTCCGCCCTGCAAACGCGTCCCGAACTGGCCGTCCTGGCAAAGAAGCGGGACGTTATTGCTACCTACGAAGTCCTGGGCCATGGCCACAATTGTCTGCACGAGGGACTGCTCCCCATGATGATAAGCGGAGTGCTCCGAGACGTAGCCCGCGAGCTGGACGACCTTGATGGACCGCGTTAGCCGGCGCTTAAACGAGGAAAAGAGAATCTTCCGCTGGCCCGGCTTGAAGCCATCCAACATGCTCGGGATGGAGCGCTCGCAGTCCGCGATGGAGAAGAGAATCAGCTCGCGATCGACAAACTCCCCATAAGTCATCCGCGGCACGCTGTAGTCGATCGTCGCGCTGTTGTTCTCGTTCGCCTTGTAGTGGGTGATCCACTCCTTGCGATCCTCCACGCGGTCCTTGGCGAAGGCCATGCAAATGCGATCGGCATCGACGGGGGAGCGCTCCACAAAGTCAAGCCGATGACGCTCGATGTTCTCGAAGTACTCCCGACCCTCCTTCGCCCCGGACGTCCCAAGACCCTTGTAGTATCGAATCTCGTAGTGCGAGATGGAATCCCCGATACTCTGCTTCCACTCGAAGTAGTCCTTCATGGAGAAAAACGAAATCGCCTTGTCGTCGCCGGAGCCTTTAGATTTCCGCCGCGCCTTCACGATTGGGGTGATAAACTGCTGCATAAAGCTCGGAACGCGCAGTAAATTGGGCCAATAATAATGAATCATATTAATGATCAACCCTTTGATATGCGATCCATCGTGATCCTGATCGGACATAATCATCAGATGCCCATACCGCAGCGTGTTCACGTCGATGTTCTTTTGGCGAATGTCCAATCCCATAATCTTAAAAACGCTTTGAATTTCCTCACATTGGATCACTTTCTTAAGGGAAGCATCGCGCACATTGAGCGGCTTCCCACGCAGAGGAAAAACACCAAAATAGTCGCGATCCTTCACCGCAAGGCCGGCGGTACATAGCGTTTTGGCGGAATCGCCCTCCGTGAGAATGAGCGTACAGCGGTGACTGTACTTTCCGCCCGCCTCGTTCGCGTCGTCGAGCTTGGGGATGCCCAAAATTTGTTTTCGATCTGAATTCCGCAGTTTCGATGACATCTCGCGCGTTAGTTTGCTGTTTGCCATCTCAACCGAGCGCTCAACAATACCCGAACGCAAAATGTAATCAATCATGGCGGGAGGAATCTCGCACGCGGAGCCGAACCTCGACTTTACCGTGTTGAGTGTTTCTTTCGTCTGTGAGTCAAACCCAGGATTTTCAATCAGACAATTCAGAAATAGAAAAATGTGCGGGCGAATCATATGCGGCTTCACCTCGGTTTTACTGCGCTTTTTGGCCTGTTCGATCACTTTGTTGATAATTTGGTCGAGAATATAACGAACATGACTCCCCCCGCGCGTCGTGGCGATGGAATTGACGAAACTTACCTGTTGAAAGCCAATGTTGGAGACCCGAACAGAAAGCTCCCAGCGATCACTCACGCGCGCGTAGCTGTGTTTGTGAACCTCCTCCCCCATTGTCGGATAAAGCGCGACGTACTCCGTAAAGTTGGTCACCGGTATTCGATTTCCGTTAAGAAAACATTTCAGTGATTTGTCGGTGCATCCGGCGATATCATAGACCCGCCGCTGCATTAACCAAATCAAATCCTGGGAAAATTTTTCCATGCGAAAACGCGCGAAATCGGGGTAAAAAGTGACCATGGTGTAGTCTGGGCCATCACAGGGGGTGATGAGGGAGTCCTCGTGATCGATCATGTTGTTGGTCCACTTCATGTAAAATTTTTTACGCGAGCGGCTGTGCACCGTCTCGAGCTCAAAACGTTTAGAAAAGACGTTGGTGAGCTTGGCCCCGAACCCATTCCGTCCGCCGGTTACCTTCGCCTCGTTATCATCGTAGTTGGAGGAGGTCAAAAGGTGGCCAAAAATCATCTCGGGGATCCACAAATTGTGCTCACGGTGTTTTTGGATGGGGATCCCCTCCCCGTTGTTGTACACTCGCACGCTGTGCTCGTCAATCCAGACCTTAATCATGGTCTGGCCGCCAGGATCCCGGACTTTGTTGTCCGCCGCGTTGACGAGAATTTCATCAAAAATCTTATACAATCCAGGCGTCCACGTGCACTTTCGCTGCTTCATAATCCCATCCGCCTCGTCGTATACCCACATCTCATCGGTTAAGGATTCAATCGTCCCGATGTACATGTCAGGACGGGCTAAGATGTGCTCATGCTGAGTCTTTTTTTGGTAAATCTGCTCCACCGTTTTGCTCATTGCTGCTTTTTGTCTTTTATTGGTTTCAGTTTCAAGCCCTGTAATGTATTTAAAACGACTTTAAATAGATATATATATATATATATCGATATATATATAATTGTATATCTTTTAGCACTTGCCCTGAGACCCTGCTAGCTTTTTGGATTCTTGATAAAAAACAAAAGGTTTATTGATGCAAGAGCTATTAAAACTAGGAAAAGGTTAGGATGGGGGGAAGCGTGGTTATGTAAATGTAAAATTATCTACTTGTTTTTTATTTCTGTATAATAAGGTGAGAGTTAATTTATTGTATTCTATGTGAAATGTAATGCCTTCCTTTTAGATATCTTATGGAGAACTGTGTGGAAATGACAACATAAAAATAATGCTGCAGAACCAATATAAGTGATTTAGCGGGGAAAAAAATCTGAAATCCTCTGAGTACCTTTTAATATGTGAGGTTCCTTTTTTTATTTTCTATGTTGCTTAAGAACCCACCCTTAAAACCTCGTAAAAAGATAGAAAATAAAGGAGTGAAACAGAATTATGCAAAATTTCCAATAAACAAGTGCAAGAAGTTATTCGATAAAAGCAGCACCGAATTTTGTTCATACATGATTTTAGATTTTGCTCCCATAACACCTGTAGCGTAAGGGTTAATATCTGGATAGAGTCTGCATGCCATCCACCGTTCCTACGTATGGCGCCCGCCTCCCACTCCCGTCGACGACTTCGTACGCAAGAGGCTTGAGTTGAACACCGCGCAGTGCAAGTTAGATTCCCACTTTTCTAACCTCGCGATCTCCCACTCCACAAAAGAGCGCGGAATCATCAAAGAATAGCTGCGATCTTCGGCCCCGTAATGAATCAGCCCCATCCGGAGGACGGTATCGAGCACGTCCGCCTCCTCCAGGCCGACCTCCCGGGCGATTTCGCCGATGCTGACGTCCACACGAAGCATCCCGCCGCCGTGGGGGTGATTAGGGGCATTCCTCTCCTCCTCCTCCTCCTCTTCCGCCTCGCTGGAGGAGGAGTTGCTAATAATAATCGGCGTTTCTTTTAACGTGCGCCGTTTGGCAGGCTTTGAAGAAGGCTTCCGCGAGGCGCGCTGCCGCTTAGAAAGCCCCCCGGCCTTCCCTTCGTCTTTTTTGTCCGTCTTTTCCTCCACGTTCGCGATGCGATGGGTGGAGGTCTTCATCAGTTGCGCGCGAAACCAACCAAAAAGGCGGCATCGCCAAAAGCGCGAGTAGGCGGCCGCGCCGAGATCCGAAAACGGCCGTTCCGGGGTCCCCACTTGATGGCGGCGGGATGCCAATTCATAGCTCACGGCAATCATAAACTGCCCAATCCCTTTAAGAGGCCCGAGTTCCCTTACCCCCTTCCCATCAATCGCCGTATTGGGCGAGGAAGAAGACAAGGACGAAGGCGGGATGAGGCTCCCGCTCCCTTTTCCGGAAAAGCAAGGTAAGGTCAAAATACAGGCCAGGTTGAACTCCGCCATCCGCTTCTCCCACGTGAAGTACCCAGCAAAGTACATCGCCTCGGGGTCGTCGACATAACGCGGAAAGTGCCCGTGATGGAGAGCGACGACGTAAAAAAAATAGCTCTGCACGTCGTGGGCCGCGAGTTTATTCTCCAAAAACGACTTCCCAATGCAAAAAAGATGTCGGCAATAGGTCAGATGTTGGCTGCCGTTGAGCTCGAATAAGGAAAACCCGCGGCGGTCATCGCGGTAGAGTTCGACGCCGGGGGGGCGCAGTCGGCCGCCGCGGTAGGCCCGCGTTTCATAACACATCTGCTCAAACGTCGTGAAAAGCCGCAGCGAAAACGGGCAGAGAAAGGCGTCTTTGATGTAAGGATTAGGCGAACCCACCGGGGCTTTGTTCCCCTCCCCCGTCAACGCCGAAGAGGACGACAACGCCGAGGGGGGGACCCCTACGGGCACGACGGGGTCATACTCAGGGTGCAAAATCCCGTACGGCGCGTAATACCACGCCCGAAAGACGAAGCGATTCAAGTAGATAAAATTGCGAATCGTCGTCGGGGTCATGCCATCCCGTAAAAGGCGCTCTTCAAAGTAGTTTTGTTGTTTTTTTGCACGCTGCGTACGAGCCATCCCCGCGGTGACTTGCGTATAAATCGAGCTGAGAATGGGCTCGGTGATGAGTTCACTGGCAAAGGAAGATAAAGTGCGCGCACACTCCGAACTATTGGGTGAATTAGCCAATAAAGGCTCACACCGCTGTTGTTGTTGTTTTTGCGCGAGAAGGACTAAAGACGGATCTTTTAATTCCACCTGTCGGAGAGGAAACCACCCGCTAAGGCGGTGATCGGCTTCTTTGATGCGGATGTAGGCGTAAAGCGGGCCATTCTCGTGCGCCGTAGCGGGTAAATCTGTCGAGGAAGTGCAGGAAGAGGAGGAATGAGAATGATAAGGCTGCCATAGCCTTCGTACCTCTAGAAGTGAACCGCTCATCGTAGCTGTGGAAGTCTTGGATTCTTTCGAGGAAGGCGAGCGTCCGAGGTGAATGGTGCAAGCAGATCCTAAAAGGCTCATGTTTAAAATAACAGAAATTGAAGAAGAATCTCTAAGGGGTTTACTCTAACGATCTGTAATCAAACAACATGAACAGTAGCTTTACTACGAGTTGATTTGTTGTTATATATATTTATTTATTTAGAATATGTGAATGTGTGATATCTGATGAACTTTTTATCATAGACCACTGCTGTAGTAGACTAAAAATGAGAACAAATGTAAGGCCTTTTATCTTAGAGATATAGTTATTTAATTCTTTTGCGATAAATAAAGGAAAAAATGCAAGGATTCAAGTCCATTAAATCAAGACACAAATAAGGCTTATCAAAGTCATTTTGGCTGATATAAAAACAATTAACGCATCTCATTTAGATCATACATAACGTTTCCCATCAGTTTTATTTGTTTAAAGAACTCAATTTATAGATATATGAGAGCTCCTTACAGCTTTATATTCTTTTTGTGGTCAAAAAGTGCTTTTTCCTTCATCTTATCGCTACCTCGTCGTCTCCAGAGTGTGAATTCATAAAATAATAAGACACCTACGTATTATTCATTATATGTGGGAGCTGTGTGTGTATTCAGTTATCTCAGTGCGTAGATGCTTATATATATATATTAACTTTTTCATATTATTCATAGTATTTTGTTCTCGGCAAATCTTATTTCAAAAATTCATTGCTTATCATGAAACACAAAATGTAGATTTCTCGTATAAAAAATTTGCAGTTAATAATCCTCGTTCAACATCATTTTTTTAGCTTATTTTTTCTACCCTTTATTAGGTTCATGTCCGTGAATCGATAAAATTTTCATCATATGCACACTTTTGACAAACAATAGAAACTTGGATAGGGTAAAATCTAATTGATATCGTACTCTACTAGTTTTAGTTTTTTTTTATATATTTTATTGAAAAATAGATAGATATATGATAAAAATTTGAACCATCTTAATAAAATATTCAGTCACCTTTATCGGGAATTTCCACAGAGACGTCAAAGGGTGCTTAAAAACATGATAAAACGTAGTATTTGCAATGAATTCATCTTGTACGATTCATTTCCTAGATAAAGTAACATAAGGGAGAAGGAAATAAGAATAACCATAATACTAATAATTAAAAAAAGGTAAACTAAATCATGCATAACCTTTATTTTTTTTATGGTACATGTTTTATGGGTTCCGGATGATTTAGCCGTCCTTCACCTTCCCTAAACTGATTGATTGGTGCCCCCTTGCCTCTTTTATTCATACTAGTCCTCTTAGGCGATCTTATTCCAGTTCAGGTAGGTCGCGACAGAGCCCGAAACGCACGTGAGGGCGCCGAGCGTCACGTTCGACGGCCTCCACACCTCCCGCAGGTACCCCACGCTCGCCATCGTCACGAGGACATCCGAGGCGTCCCGGGTGAGGTTGATGATGGCCCCCTTCGCCTCCTTTTTGCAGAGGGCGAGGTCGGTCAGGCGCTTCTTCAGGGCCGCGCGGAGGGCCAGCAGGTCCAGGACGGCGGCCAGGAAGAAGCCCCAGAACTGGGCGAACTTCGCCTGCGTGGTGACCGCGGCGGCGTTCAGAGGGACAAGCCGGTGCTTCGCCACGAAGGCGACGTTGTCCCCGAGGATGTACAGGGAGTTGGCGAGGACGCGGAGGAACTCCACCAGGCGCTTGAGCTCCGTCCCGTGGAGGCCCTTGGCGTGGAAGCCGTGGATCAGCTGCTCCAGCTTGGGTACGTCCCCGACGAACTTGCCCATCCGCATCAACGACCGCGCGCCGCCGATGGAGTTCCCGATCGCCTTGTACGCCTTCACGTTGGGGTCCTGGGCATCCGAGACATCCGCAAGGATACGGAAGAAACCGGCGAGAAACTTGTAGATTTTATCCCGACCATCCGTCTGGCTGAGGAGTTTGATCAGGCGTTCCAAATCCGTCATGGTGATGATTCTTTTTCCGTTAACGAAAGAAAAAAGGGTTATAGGTCTGGTGGTGATAGGTAAATAAGAGAAAAATAAACAGCGTGATAAAAGGAATGGTTAATCTAAGAAAAGGAAGAAATGATCGGTAATAAAAAGAGAAGGTGGAAAAAGGGGATATTAAAGGACAGGATAATAAATATGAATTCAATGAAAGAAAATATTTGGGTTCAATTAGTCGCACATCACAAGACCTCTATTATGTGTGTGTGTTTGCAGAAAAAGTGAAAATTACTGTTTAATGATATATAATGAGAAATAAAATAAGAAATATAGCACTTAGAAATATTCATAATCACCTCAAGCTTGCAAGTATCAATAGAAGGCAACACATGTTGAAAAATAGGCCATTTTGCTTGCGTAATTATTTTAAATAGAAGCACATGAAACATAAAAATAAAGGAGCTAAAAGTCGAAATGCGATACTCTGGTGGTAGATCGATACATGTTCAGTAGGTGTAAAGCATCGAGCACGTGCATTTAGTAAAGATTCAACAGTAAGCTCAGACAAACATCAACTAAATATCAGTTTTTATACATATTTATATATATATATATATATATATATAGTTTAGGAAAGTCATTATATAGCCGAATTCAAATCGCGAAAAACTGCGGCAAATTTATTTTCAATAAGTGCATCAAGACGTTAAAAGTGAAGGAAGAATACACAGATAAAAAAAGAAACCTTATCTTTGCGGTATATATAAAAATACAATAAATAGGCTTCTTTTCCTGTTTGATTTTGAATAAAAAAGAAGAGCTTCAAATTAGGAAAAACTTAATTTTCAGGAGAAAAGAATCACAGAGACATGTGCAATCAAAAATACGCAGCCATGATCAAATTACTTTCGCCAATAATCGAGAGATATTGCCTATTTTTTGTTTTTGACATATTACCTTAGCTTGTTGTTTAAAATATAATGAAATTATTGCGAAAATTAAAAAGACAGAAAATAAACAACCTGTACACACCACTTAATAATAAAATAGAATATATATAGGTGTATATATGAATTTTACATCTATGGTACTCTAGTTAAAAACATCAATAACATTTTATTTTAAATCTCAACATGTTTCTAATAACCTTTTCTCCTTTCTTCATTTCCCTCTCTCCTGTGTGTCTGGTTTAGTACTTCGCTCGTCCTCCACAGACATCCACATCCCTATCTCTATTTTCCATAACAAAAGTGTCACTGTCAAGCCCACATTTTCGAAGATCCGCCTAAACACGAATCGGAAAAGAAAAATAAAACCATGATGCACTCAAATATTACTCCTTCATCTCTCGCCAGTACGTGATGGCCCCGAGGGCGGCCGCCAGGCAGGTGAGGATGCCGACCACCCGATCGGTCGGCCGGGCGATCCCGCCAAGGCCGCCCAGCGCGATGCAATTTGCCGTGACGTCGGTGGCGTCCTGCAGAAAACGCAACGAGGCGTTTGTTATGGCGCGTTGGGCGGCAGGGGGGTCGTAGCGCAGCCGCTCGAGCCCATCCCGAAGATCGAAAAGATCGACCAGCGCGGCGAGAAGGTAGCCGGCGAGCTGCCATCGCTTCGCGCGGCGCATGCTCGCGGCGGGGCTGATCCCGTGGCCCAGCAGTCGGGCCCCCCCCAGCAGCGCGAGGTTATCCCACAGGAGGAAGAGCCCATCGCACAGAATCCGGGCCGCCTCGATAAAGCGCTTCGTTGCCGTAAAGCGCGGGGTTAGTGCGAAGACGATCCGAAGAAGCCCGCGCAGCCGCTGGACGTTCGCGGTGAACTTGCCGAGAATCATCACCGAGCGCGCGCTCGAGAAGAGGGTCA